AATCCCTTTCTTCAGAGTAAACCTGTTGGTAGGGTCAGAGTAAACCTGTTGGTGGACAGGGGCACAAAATCGTCAACCAACAGGGAGCTGAACACGGGCCACCCGACTGAAGGGCTTCACTTGGACAGTGCCATCCTTGGCCAGCCGGAATCTGCAAACCCAGCTGTGGATGGTCTACATAGGAAGCCAGAAAACTGGTTTGGAAGATTTAGGAAATCCTTGAAATGCCCGCCGTGGATGTTGAAATCCCAGTTCTGTCAGCTCCAGGGCCAATGGGTACTCTTATGATTATGGATCCTTTTAGATGATTTTGGTCTTTGTGTTTTTGGTCCAGATTTTGGTTATTTTTTCATCATCTTGGTATTCACCATGTAGGAAGCAGCTCAGCCCAGAGCAACTCTCGGGAGAAGGCAGAGGCGTCTACGCCGTGCGTGGCGTACCTTGCCTGACAACCCGCTGCACCCTGTGCAAAAAAAGCCTATGTTTCTTTAAATGCCTTGATGAGCTTGGAATTTGCAAAAAAAAGCGGATTATATATGAGATATGATAGGATAATGGGACATGATGGGAGATATTGAAATATAATGGGATAGACTGGGATTTAGCGGATATAATGACTAGCCGTTCATACCATGTTATACCCGATGAGGATTTACATTGGCGTGGGAGATCGAAACAACAAATATCATGATAAAAAGAAGCCAACAAGGGTGTAAATGAGATTGTCATAACTGCACAATTTTGTGGGTTCCGCCATTTGGAGTTGATTGGGTTTGCGGCGCCTCATTCAAAACTAGCACACGTCCCACTGGGGTTCTTTAAACACAAGCCCCTTTCACTACAAATGTCATGTCATCATCTTTTCTTGTTTGTACCCTTTTCTCGTGACCTCCTTTTTCCCTCGAATAGTGCGGCCACACTTGGAATTCTTACAGTATCTGTTCAGGCCCGGTGTTCGGTTTAGATGGGATCATACGCGCGCGCAGTTTTCATGACCCTTACAGCACAAAAGTTCCCTCATTTTCCGTTTTCGAAGGAAAGCTCGCATGAAACGGTGGCCCGTGGACCTCTCTTCAGAAAGGTTCGTTTTACTAGCGCGCCGTGTTCGCTTTTTGAGCTAAACCCATTTCGTGCAGCAAGCGTGGCAAATCCAGGGCATTTTGAGGTCTAAAACGTCGTATTGCACAAGTGCAGGACATCGAACACTTTTAATTCAGCCGGTGGCAGTCGTGGGACTTTGTGGACGCTGTTAAAAAAATGTTGGAAGGCGTGGTCAAAATGAGACCTGCTCCATTTTGGTGGCAAGCGCAACATTTGGTGAACTTGGACGACGTTTTGAAACCGTCGAAAATCGCGTTTGTGAAACTGTCGTCGTGTTTGATTTTGGACATGATGATGATTTCCTGGTACAGCACTTCGGATGCAAGCGAAATACTTTGTAAACCTCGACAAAAAAGCAGCTGGGACCTACGTAGGTAAAACATGGTAAAACGTCCTTTTTGACATTTTTGCATGTGTCGTTGCAAGCGCAAAATTTCATGAACATCTATAAAATGTGCTCGCGCGACAATCTCGTCACCTTGCGCGCATCGCATCGCTCTCGTTGTGGCGCGGTGCTCATTTTGAAATCACTCGCGCAAGCCTCTCAGCACTCTGTGCGCATCGGATCGCTCTCCTTGTGGCGCGGTGCGAATTTTGACATGGCTCGCACAACCCTCTCGGGACTTTGGAAACAGATCGCTCTCGTTGTGGCGAGGTGCTCATTTTCAGAACCCAGGAGATCTTGGACAGAGATCTTGCCAAGAGCGCTCCTATGGACATCTTGCCAGGGGATCTTGCCAAGAGACCTCTTGTAGGGAGACTGTACTGAGATCTTGCTAAGAGATCTCCGAGAGTGAACTCTTGTAGGGAGATCTTGTCTAGAGATCTTGCATAAAGAGCTCTTTCAACGATCTGGCCAAGAGACCTTCTAGAGATGCTGTACAGAGACCTTCCGTAGAGATCTGCTGAGATCTTGCCAAAAGGTCTCTTACATAGGTCTTGCCATGAGAGCTGTTTTAGACAGCTTGTGCAGAGATCTCACACAGGGATCTTTCCAAGAGACCTGATGGGGAGCTTGTACAGAGATCTTGCCAAAAGACCTCATACAGAGACTTGTACAAAGATCTTTCCAAGAGGCCTCTTAAGATCTTGCCAACAGAGCTCTTATAGAGATCTTGTAAAGTGATCTTGCCAGGAGACCTCTTATAGAAATCTTGCACAGAGACCTGGTGAAGAGAACAGAGATCTTGCCCAGAGATCTTGTATAGAGAGCTTGAACACAAATCTTACTTTGAGATCTCTTACAGAGATCTTCAGTGGAGATTTCTTATAGACACCTTGTACTGATTGCCTTATAAAGGAATCTTGGACAGCAGCTTCTATACAGAGAACCTGTCAATTTTAGAAGATCTTTGCAAAGTGAACTTGCAGCATCTGACCTGGTACCTTTTCTTCCAGATCTCTGATGAGCATGTCTCTTGTACTGTGCCTGACACGCGAGTGGTGTGCAATTTTTCATCTCTCATTTGGCTCCGCACCCGCCGCTTCTGCGAGCCTACTTTTCGACCATCCGGAGCCACAGATCATTGGAAACACACAGTACTTCGCAACTTTGCTACCTTTTCGCGCACTTGTGTCTTCTTTCTTCCTACTCTTTTTCTTCTCTGATCTTCTCTCTTCTTCTCTTCCACCTCTGCTTTTCCATCTGTCCATGTTGTCGGAAGTTTGACTTCTAAACTAAACTTCCTTCGGTCATAAAAAGTATAGTATGTATATATATATATACATGTATATAAATATTAATTATATAGCGTATTGTACATAGACTATAATCATAAGTGGGGCAAAATACTGTATAGCAACCCAATCGCTAACATAATCCAAGTTGTTTCATAGGTTACTTCATGTCAACAGATAAGGAGGAACATATCAAGAGGCAACCAACGGATACAATAAATGTATATATATATATATGTATAGTTCTATACAGATATAATAATTCTGGGTTCAAATGGATCTAACTATTTTAACATGCGGAAAATTTTAACTATGGGGCAAAAACAATGGGAAATACCTTAGTCTGGAATAGATGAGCCATTACTCCAAGTGGGGTGTACTTATGCTTGCCAACTTGCTGGAAGGCGCCACATTGGTGCAGGACTAAAACAGCTGCAAAACTGCTACCCAACATGGGTAGCCTTCGGTGCCCTTCGATAGGATAGCTACTTCGAAAACAGGGGATGTCGAATATTTCACTATCATTCATCGTGTATGGCAATAAACCCATCAAACAACCAGTCACGCACGCAGATTCCTCCATCTATTGGTTGCCAAAAAACCTCTACAAGGCGGGCCCTCAAAACGATAACTAAGTTGATTTATAGCTGCTGAAATAACGGATACATCAATAGTGATTTTGGGCCTTGAAAGGGGGGCAACACCTTGTCCCACCACTCATTACCAGTAGTGGATGTTGCAAAGTGGGGCGCTCTAGTTATAAGTTGGTTCATGATTTAATGATGATTCAATGGTGTTCTATGTGATTTGCATAGGATAAGTCGATCACCATTTATCTTAAATCTTAAATCACCATAAATCAATTGGCTCATGACCCCAAAGTATGGTGATATTCCCAGACTTTCCCAACTATGTCCCGTTTGTAACGCAACCTCTTGGGTTTCCGAAGAAAGTCCGTCCTCTATCAAGCAGTCACCCTCTAGGTGGTGAAACCCCCAGATATTTGAAGTTGATTTATACATCCCCAAGATTCTTACCTATTATTACCATGGTATCTAGTTCTTACCAAGGTAGTTCAAACAACATAATAGGTATTATACATTGCTTTGATATACATTCCCTAAGATTATATAGTTCATGATTAGTTCATGACAGTTCTAAATCAAGAAACATACAAGATGGTGCCCCTCAAGATAGCTAAGTTGGTGCAAATAATTCCAATAACTATGGTTTAAAGGTGGTATATCTATAGTATTCATGGGCTTTTTAAACCAATAAACATGAGCTTTGGTCAACAAACAGTTCGCTATTGAAAATGGCCATAGAAATAGTTGATTTACCAATTAAAAATAGTTTTCCCATGGTTTTCCACAGGGTAACGGTTTGGGGGGCACCACCGAACGTGACGTTTGCTACGGTAACAGCTGTCTACCACTGCCCCATTTTCAACCAAGGCGGGGCCCCCGACAAAGCGGTAGGATTCATCGACTGGGTTTATGGTAGGTATATAATATATAGATACTAATAATCAACATTTATGGTCATTATATAAAGGGATATATCTATATTAACTATGATATATCTATATTATAACCTAGTTAATGTTAATATCTAATAATCAACATTAACTAGGTAAATTTATAAAGTAAATCAACTACCAAAAATGGGATTATAAAATGGATATAACAGGTTATAACATATATAACATAGATATATTATAGATATATTATTGATATAACATTTATGTTGGCATATATAGATATTATATTATATACAGTCCTAAAGATATCCCCATAATGTGTGTATATGTAAATATAATCATCATTAATGGGATTATATAATGGGATAATCATTAATAACAGGATTATGTAAAATAGTGGTTATAATACCAAAAAAATGTCGTTATAATACCAATAACATAGATACAACATATAGATAGATAGACTGATTGGTGGTATACCTACCCCTCTGAAAAATATGAATTCGTCAGTTGGCATGATGACATTCCCAATCTATGGAAAGTCATGAAGTTCATGTTCCAAACCACCAATCAGGTACATATTGGAGTTACCGTAGCTGGTACTCTACATTTTGGTAGAGAGAGATATATATATATCGAACTGCTTACTATGGTTTATAAACTACCTTAGCCAACCAAATCATACTCAACCCTAAAAACATTCCAACAAACACCACCACCAAACCTATCGCATGTTCTCCAAGCTGCTGTTGAAGACGTGCCAAGGTATGGAGCCCGACAGCTGCCGCGAGGCTGGCTGGAGCTGTTGGGAGATCTTCAGACACCGGGCCATCCGTAAGAACCAGGCCTTTCGGCGGCCCCAAAACTCCAATGTCACTATGGCACTATGGTTGATGGTCCTCAAAAACAATGAGAAAATGTGGTATAATTTGAGGACCATCAACCATAGTGTGAAAAAAACTTATGAACATAGAGAAATTTATGATTGTTGAAATCGGACATAGTAATCCCCGCCAAAAAAAAAATATACGAAAAAAGAGATAAATTCGTTTAACCCCATTCCATAGGTTTTACTGACTATTTGCGAGGCGATGGAGCTGGTTAACTAATTAGTAAGGAATTCTAGTAAGTTACCCTCTGGTAATTTAACATAGCATGAAAAATCAGCATCTTTAATAGGTAAATCAACTATAGATGGGCCATTTTCAAAAGCTATGTTAAATTACCAGAGGGTAATTACTAAGAACTAGTTAATTACGCAATCTCATCCATTTACTAATTGTCTATATAATAAGCAGTTAGCTAATTAGCTGCAAGCCCATGAAAATACCTAACTATGGCTACTAGTCATAGTGGGTGATAAGCTGGTATGAATTAAAAAATAATTATTACTATAGTTGGAATAAGCTGGTATTAAGCTGGTATAACTATAGTTGGATTACCAACCAAATAGCTAATCCCATGGCCCGCTTAAACAAATGACAGTAATCTACTGATGGAAACCAATAGTGAATTGAGCAGAACAAGGTCATGGTTTCTAGTAATCTTAATGCGATATCATTCGGATACAATGGACATAACATGTGGATATATAATGATATATAAACACCAAATTAATGTGGGAATAACATGTTTTAGATCATTGTGTTTCCTCATGCTTCCTCTTGCAACAAGACCAACATTGGCTGAACAAAGCCCCACATGCTTTCCCAGCAAAATCTAACATTTCCTGAAGAAAACATCATTTTTCCATATGTGTCAAAGAAATCTCACGTTTCCCCAGCAAACTTGCCCATGATTCCCGTGTTCCACCATCTAAGCTTACATAAAGGATACCCCCAGTAGGGAACTTACTAACCAGGGTTTTTAACCAGCCAGGATTCGTGCGATGATCCTCCCCCCAACAATCATCATCAAATCCAAACAAATATTTCCACTAATTCCCATTTACCCCATAAAAAAGCCCATAAACAACCGACTAAATCACTGTTAAATCCCTCTTAAACCCCATGAAAAGCAAGTCCCACGAATCCCCATATAGAATACCACAAACATTCCATAAAACCCCATGAAATCCCGTTGCCACGGCACCATCTGCAGCAGCTGCCGCGGCTGCTTGGGCAGCGCCGCTGTTCCGCCCAGTAGCATGGCGTAGCCAGGCGTCATCGCGGCGAAGTCCAAGAAGTTCAGGGCGCTGAAGATGGCAAAGACGTCGGGAAAGGCAGCGAAAAGTCCTGGGATCATACTGTTTCATGGATGGAACTGATGTCAAATATATGTATGTATGTGTATATGTATATGTAAATACAAATATATTTATATAGTTTTGTATTTATGTGTGTAAAATTGTAAATATATATATATGTATACACATATTAAAATGTAATATGGTGTGTATATATATATATGTGTGTGTGATGTGCGAATTTAAATGCAAAAGAATTGTGTTGATAGTGATTTAAAATCCTGGGGTATCAAGTGGTTCAATATGGGAGCTAAGGATCGATTTGGGTATCCAGAATATTCCCTATTAATGGATACAATGGGAGATACTATTATGGGTATAATATGGAACCGTGGATTCATTGAAGATTTATGGATATTAAAAGGACTATGAATAAAAGAAAACTATATATTATCATGGGAGATGATGAGTATTATAAGTCCTTGGGATATCCAGTGGTTCAGAGGGGGAGCGTTTAGGAGCGAGCTATGGGCGTCCGTAAAAGTGGGATTGATTCTGTTGTGGGTGAATGATAATATTGAATCGGAGGTTGATTGAACATTTATGGGGATTTGATCTCCGAAGCTTTCCCAGTATTGTCCCTATTTTCATCTGTTTTCTATCTACAGGCAAGAAAACCCCCACACCCTACAGTACTGTGTAGGGCTTCCGATGAATGCCCAAAGAAAGCAACAAACACAATCAAAACGGGTACTTCAAGGGATCTTCCATATCTGGCCGACTGATCTCCAATATAGTTGTAGACATTCCAGGACTTAGATATCCTTAATGTTGTCTTCGCTGGTCATGGAATATATCCCCATCTATATCCATAGAAAATACATCGTACTCTTCAGTAGCCGCAGCCAACGGTTTCCCCAGCTTTCTGCTTCACCACCCTTTCCCCAGCAGCCAACAAGCAACTCAACAGCAGTTCACCGCTAAAGACCACGGTAACCAACGCCTCCAGCGCAAAGAACATCGGATTCTCGCGGTATTCCGGCATCGTCTGCAGGATCACCGAAGTGCACGATGCCACGATCAACAGCAGAATCAACACATGAAAAGCGGCAGAGGCATAGGAAGAATAGGGATCTTCCACAAAAGCGCGGAGGGAAACCATGGCCCTTTTAGATAAATCTAAGGTGAGTGTGGTAGGATGTGGTAGGATAAAGGCTTGGCGACCTGTGAAAACGTCACACCCGCTTCCAACACCCTCAAAGGTCTCTGTCATTGACACCCGGCAGTATATGGCGTCTTGGAAAGCAACTAATTTATACGCTGACAAAGTCACGGGTAGCGCGTCTCCATCCTAATTTCCTGCGGAATATCCACCGCTTGATGTTTATTGGGCACTTTAACTTGACACCCACAGTATCTTAAAAGATATTTACCCTCTGGTAAACTAACATAACTATTGCAAATCATCATTTTTAATAAATCAACTTTAAATGGCCATTTTCAATAGAAAACTGTTAAATTACCAGAGGGTATTTTCTGCTGTTCACAAGGCCTCTCCATGGTATCCCATGGTAATATGGAACCAGTGGTGCAATGTTTGCCTGCTTGCCTAGGGGTACATGTCACAACTGGTCCAAAAACCCATCCCACTATTGACATTACACACCAATGACCCACACGTGAACCTAGCTGTAAGCCAACTTGCCAAACATTGTCCCCACACTGTAAACATACATAAAATATCATATGTGATTTTTGATTGAGCGGATGCACACAAGGAGGATGCACTTATATGGTGTTTCGACTGTGGTGTTGAGTGTTCTTCTCCGAGCTTTGGGAGAAGAGGTGGCGCAGTGCTACCAACTGGGCCGGTGGCAGCAGTGCAGCTAGACCTGGAATCCGCTACAAAAAAATGCCAGCTGGTGTTCAACATTTACCCTCTGGTAAACGTTGACAAAAAAACTATGGAAAATAACCCTTTTTAATGGGAACATCCGCTATTTCTATAGCCATTTTCAATAGCTATTTTAGTTTACCACAGGGTATCTGTCAGTGATTGTTGACATTGTTATCTCTATGAGATAATGACATCCGTATTTTTGCTTGTTAGATGACCATTATTCCAGTATTCTTGGGTTGAACCTCCATTATTCATGCTCAGATCAACATTATTCTTGGTCCAGGTCAACTCTTTTTAGTTCAAGCACGTTAAACCTCAAACTATCATGTTGCTGGGAAACTCTTAGTAGCTCCAACTGGCTTTCCATTTAGTAGGGCATATGGGCACCCCTAGTTCGTAAAATCTCCTTAGCAACCACTGGGCAAACTGGACACATATCTCCCTATCATGGCCAATTAAAAAATATCACCACAATATCCCCCCTATCATGGTCGGTTGAAAAACATCACCACAAATCACCATTGAACATTATATCCCAATTTAATCACCATAATATCCCTACTGTCCTTGACAAAGTCTACTATATTCAATTAATTTCCATTATATTGATGCTTTCAACCACTATATCAAAAAAACAATCCTACACCAAGGGTACCCAAAATCATCCAAGTCATAAGAGCATTTTAGTATTGAAACCCGTGGTGACTTTGGTATCCCCCATTTTCGGAAAACCCATCTACGTATATAGATTCTATGTTTGTATACACCAAATCAAAAATTGTAACAGGGAAAACGATATATATATATGTACATATATACATACATATATACATATATGTACATTTATGTGTGTATATGTTAACATATAAATATGTATGTATATAAATATATATATATATATAAATATAAATATATATATACACATATATATATAAATACATATGTACATATGTATGTATGTATGTATGCATGTAAACATATTTATATATATATACATTTATTAAGCCAGTGAATATGAGGGTAGCCTATTTTCAGACAAGCCCATAGATGGACCATGGGATAACCTGGTTAGTAAGTGGCTTAGCTTCATGGCCCATCTAAGCAGCCTTTGGCAGCCCGCCACTGGAATGATGGCTTTTTGGGGTAGCTATCCTAAAATCACTGGGATATGAAAGGTATTTGGTAAAATATTCCAATGGCTAACTATCCTCCATTGTAAATACTCCATACTTTTAATATTATCATAGGATCAAATTATCATAATCCTATGATCCTATCATCAAATATACTATTCTCCAAAACCTTCCATCTGAGCTTTACTATGATGCTTTATCTGGGCTTTACTAGATGCTAGAAAGGATCAGAGAAAAAAATCAGGATGATAGTTACAACCCGGTGGAAGTTATACCCTCTGGTAAACCAACAAAACTATAGAAAATGACCCATTTATAGTTGATTTACCTATTAAAAAAGGTGATTTTCATCGCAAACTATTAGTTTACCAGATTCTTTTGCGGAAAGACATCGCAAAATTAAAAAAAACCTTTCCCAAATATATTTCATCAGGGATATTTCATGATATTTCAACTACTCGGGGTGAGCCACCAAATATGTACCCTATTGAGACCTGGTTGGTGGTTAAGCCACCCCTCTGAAAATATGACTTCGTCAGTTGGGATTATGAAATTCCCAATGTATATGGATAGTCATAAAATCATTTTCCAAACCACCAACCAGATAGTGATTACTAGGTGATTAGCTTAATGTCAGTATACCAAACAACCATAATTAATAGATGATAATCACCAACCAAATATTATATCCCAATTAAATCCCATTGCATCACCATTAAACCCACATAAGATCACCATAAAATCACCTCATTCCTCAAAAATAGAAGATATAAACAGATAGTAACCAACATGAACATGTCCCATATAATCATTCATTGAATCCTCATTAAATACCCAGAAAATCACAAAAAAAATCACCAACCAGAGCTCCACCTGCTCCGCTCCGCCGCCGTGATGGCTTGGTTGTGCTCCACCAAGATCTCCGAGCGGCGCAGCTCGGCGTCCACCTGTGGCACCGAGATCACCGCATTTCATGGTGATTCAATGGACATTTCGTGGGGTTTTAATGGCATTTTACGGTATGTGCTTAATGGGAACTAATTGTTTTTAATGAGAACTTTAATTGGCATTTTATTGGCACTTTATTGGCATTTTATGGAATTTTGATGGAGGTAATTGTTTTTTGCTTGTTTTTCAATGCGATTTCAAGGTGGTTTAGTGGGATTCAGTGGCATTTGAGCGGACGTCGCCCTTGAGATGCCCCCACCGAGATGCTCATCAAGAGGAAGATGCGCTTGGTAGAACAGGTGTGGTAGATGGTGTGGAAGCCAAGATGTCCGGTTGCTTCACCATGTAGATGCCAAATGGTTGGAACTGGATCCCATGTCCTCAGAACAAAAACAATATTAAATAATATGCAGTTTTCTTTTGCAGGAATTCATGTATAGTGACATACTGCAGGAATGAATGAAGCTAAGAATCCGATGACAATCCACGCAGGATCTGCTCCAAAGGATGGCATTGCCAAATAGGTTGCGCCATTGTATGGAACCAGAGCAACGTTCAGGTACCGGTGGCCTTGGCTGTTCATCATGTTGGCCAACTCCTGCGGTCCCATGCCACTGCTGCCACCACTGACCTCCTGCATCTTCTCCACGGCTCGCTTCTCTTTTATGGCATTTTGATCGGATGTTGATGGGATCTTCCTCCACGTGGCATCCACAGGACTTTACAAAATAACAATGGTGGCATATCATGGCATACCTGAAACACAAAAATCATCTCATTTACTTACCATTTGGCAGCTTAAACTGCAAGTCAAGACCTCATTGTTTCAACAGGTTTCCTTTTTGATGGCTGAAGTCCCCATGGTTCGACATGGCCCGTTAAATCTCCGTATAAATTGATAGCAAATTTCACCGAGTTTCACTCCATTCGATGGTTACAAAAATCTAAAATAAGTATGTTCAATTAGACAAACTTGCAAATATAACAATTACCCCAGCGCTTCCCCATTTTCATTCTTATGGACTATTGGCATAAATCGGGGGGCCAAATCCACCGGTTTTTCGCGGCGAAGGCCACGTCGGCCTCCTTCAGCAGCTTGTCGCTGTGCGACGAAGTGGCACAGGAGGCGGCGGCGGTTAGGGCCAAGAGAGGTGGACTGCAAGGCGGAGCCGAAGGAATCACTGGCTAAATGGAGGTTAATAAATAGGTTAATGTTGGAAATGGGGTCAATATTGGAAATATTGTACATGGGTAAAAATGGAATGATATAGTGGGAAAATCTTCTATAAATGGGTGAATATTGGAGCAATTGTTGCAAAACCTATAGTGAAACTGTACTTGGAGCATCAACCCATTTAGCAAGAGCTTTAACCCATTTTTAAACGGCTTAACCCATGAATCGGGGGGCTTACTAACCAGGGTTATTAATCAGTTAGTGGGGTGATCCTCCACGTAAAGCAGTGGTTTAATCATAAATACAGAAGGATTTGACCAATGAATAACGAAGAATGGATCTTAGTGAATGTCAATATCTGTGCCAAAATAAGCTCCTAGACATTTGGCCTAAGTTGATAAGCTGCATCCGAGTACCAGGCTGGAGAACATGCAACAAGGCAGGCCATATATTTGGCAATGCAAAATGTGGGCTGTACAGAGCGGTGCACCATAGTTAGCTAAGTTAGCTGATAACTAGGGTGTATGGGAATTATCTCTCTAGATAAGGGGGATTACAGACTAATGACTAAAGTGTCACTGGGGTGCACCATTTTGAAAGTAGATATGAGACATCTAGCAACTATCTCTTAGCCTCATGTTGCCCCGGTTTTGTAATCAGATATGGGTCCAGGTACTCGGAAAATGTCATAGGTACTGATCCATAGCTGATTGACACTGCAACAACTTGGAATTTTATCGTCAAAAATGTTGGTCAAAGCAAGAGAAAGCTGGATTTGACCAGGAAAAAAACGTGGATTGACATAACACATCCTATCTGCCACATGTTGGCACTTTTACCTATTTATCTTGGTAAAAACTCAGGGTTTTGGTATGGTGGGTCGAACCAACAAAAAGGGTGACTGAAGCCTTAAAAAGGCGGAATTCACCTCAAACAGTCTGGGTTTAACGAGAACACAGTGAAGTGGGGCCGGTTTGGTATACCATCTATCATCATTTACCTGTTGTTTTTCAGGAGGTTCTTCAAACCCCTCTAGTAATCAACCAACCAATGGGAAAAGGACATCTTTGAATTTGATGTTCAGATGCAAATATTCAAATCATGCAACAAAAACCAGATGCTGCCAGCCCACAGGTGTTTTTTCCAGCCCAAGTGGTAGATTTAAGCCGCCAAATTGAAGGATATCAGACATGAAATTGTTGAAGAATACTCAGGAAACATGATCGAATCGATGTGAATCATCTGCTCTGATTGGTGGATTCCGTTCATATTCATTTGGATATAATTGGACCCACTTGTGGTAAGCATATATCCCATTTCTGGTGGGAATCATCTTTAAAATCATACTACAGCGCAACGTCTGCAGCCTGGTCGAAGAGCTTCGAAATCGATCCACCAACCAAATGGCATCCTGCACAGCTTTGAAATCGGGACAGGGAGAATGCATCTGTCATAGTTTGTTGCAGGGGCCTCCATGATAAGCAAGTTTGTTGCAACCAGATTAACTACAGTTACATATAATGCGCTATAGATGGGTCTTAAATCAACTTCTAACTGGGAGAGGGCACATTGTAGGGTCAACTATCCAGCAAGTAGAGAAATTGAACCCACCAAACAATCAAGTCAACCAGCAAGATAGTTACATGACAACGGAGGATGATAGCCAACACAATGCTGCACGATTGATTAGCAACCAAGAGAGTCCAAGAGCAGTGCTCTCTGCATCTGGCTACCTCTTGTGATTGTCCATGTGAAGTAAATCAAAAGTACCGAATGCTCCGGGCCGTGCCCGCCGTGCCCCATGTTGCTAAGACGATTGGACGTTTGGACGTGCCCCAAGGTTCTCAGAAGCACTTACGATCAGTGATATCCAGGTACGTCGACTATCGAATGAAAGGGAACATGATGATATAAACCATGGGATTTAGACAATTTTACCTATTCTTCAAACAAATCCCTGTTATAAGCCAACTATAAACTATATCACAATTATTACCTGTATACCAATACCAAATATATTCCCATGATATCCCTGTGTTCCCATTCCATTCCCATGGTTATCTATCTAACATAGTTTCACAACCTATAAAAAGCAAACTTCAAATAACAATGACATTTATATCGTGTATAAGATACTGCGAAAACTATACTAAGTTCCAGATTAAAGTAAGCATATAGTATCCCCTAATATCCCCTGGAAAGATAAACGCATACAGCAGTTTATATATAGTATTTATTGTTATTTATAGAATTTATTGCACCATAAAATTAATATAGTGTCTTAGTATATGTGCCATAAATACCATTAATAACTATATTATTGTACCGGGTTACTACAACCAAATGGGATGATTGACCAAAGATATAACATGATATGACCGTCGTACCATCACCATTTTATTGTACCGGGCCTTAATCAAAGCCAAAGTACCATTTGTTGCATCATATTCCCATCGTATTCTTGGCATATATTCTCATGATATCAGTACCAATATTTCACCGTTACTTATTCTTTTATATATATATACACCATAAATACCATTAATAATCATATCATACCATATTAATTGACACATTTTATGGTACCATATTGTAATCACAATTCAAAAAGGTAATAACCATATTATTGCACCTTATTACCATTATTATTATATAATATTGATTATTATTATCATATGTACCATAAATACCATTAATTTCCATATTAGCATATTATTGTGCTTTATTACCTTATTGAAATAAGCATAAATGTTGTTATGTGGTTGCAAAAAACATTCTAACTGTTATGCATATTATTAAAAACAATTAATAACAATATTATTGTATATATCCCAGTAAATATCATAAATAAGTATTTGTGTTACTTAATCACGTTAACCATACACCATATTGGAGCCATATATATTCGCTCGAAATGCCATCTTATCTGGCGCAATAAAGATGCCATCTATTCGTGATCCGGTCTAAATGTGATACTTACCATATACCATATCAATACTTGGAACCATATACCAGTGATAATTACCATAAAAATATCCCACATTTTTTGCAACAACCTCCGCCGAGTACCAAGCGACTTGCCACATTGTCAGGATCTCTGCCGCCGTGACGCTGGCGATCAAGGCAGCCGGAGTCCTGGGGAAGAAGGGACGGGAAGAAATCGCCAAGAAAACACCGTTGTTCCTGTGAAACCGCCATGAAATCAGCATGAAATCCCATGAAACCATCATTTTTGCAAAGTTGTAGATTTGAGTAGCAAAAATGATGTTTTCATGGGATTTCATGCTGATTTCATGATGTTTCTCATGGGATTTCATAGTGTTTTAGTGGGATTTGATGGGGTTTTAATTGGCGGCTTTTTGTATTTCAGTAGCAAGCGTGGTGATTTACTGAAATATAGTTGGATTTAGTTGGCTAAGTTTGTTGATGTCCCACCTAATTATGGTTATAGTCACCAAGAACCCTAGTTAATCCAGTTGTAAACCAACACTCTGTGGTGTACATCTACGGAAATGTGCAGCCTGAAACACTTCAACCTCAACTAGATTAGATACCATTCAACCCAGTGTCTTCAAAATGGGGAATGGAATCAAAAAGGTAAACGCTTAAGAGAAATCACAAGGGACCGGGTTGGAACTAAAACACCCCAAGTAGGATGAAACAACGACAACGTTTGAAACCAAGAAACAGATCGGATTTACTAAAGGTGGGAATGCGATGGGCATATGATATGGCATATGCCACCCATGGTCAGAAGGTGATATCTACATGTGTGGCCAAGCTGATTGTGAGATGCTAACATGAAAAAATGATTCCATCAACAACAAAAGTTGGTTTACAACCCGAGAGTAGTCGTCACACATACAAACACACACACACACTGCACAAGTTGCGCTTTTGTATCTACATGTCACCTGGGCTTACATCCATTTCGATTGTTAAATTGATGGTTTTAAGTATATTGACATACATCAAATAATGATTAGGCGTTGATAATTATAGTATATTAACCATTTATCACCATACATCAATTCATTTCAATTTACAACTGATATCCTTTGATGAGTCAGCTTGGATCATCTTGAAATTTCCTCATTTCAGGCTGTGAAAGCGACCAGAAAGCAGTTCTCATCCGCTTTTTGCTGCGAAACATCCCAAATTGCAAGGTCGTGCTCCCAGTCAATAGCATTCTGTTGGTGCGTTTATAACTCCAATTTCACTATGGTTTTTGTTGGTGATTATAGTCTATATGGTATTCATGGGCTTTAAAAATCAATAAACATACCCTCCGGTAAACTAACATAGCTGTTGAAAATGGCCCAGTCGAAATAGTGGAATTACCCATTAAACATGGTGATTTTCCAGATAAGACACCATGTTCCCATGGTTTTCCCATGGTTTGCACATGGTTTTCCACGGGGTAACGGTTTGGGGGACACCACCAAACGTGGCTGGTGGTTTCAACTCGAAAATCTCGTCAGATCATCCCTTAAAGGATGACAAATGTCCACGATCTATGAGCAAACATTCAGGTATTTCATTCTTGTTTAAAGAGCTACATGTGTATATATGGACCATGTATATATATATGTAAATATACATGTATATGTATATAATATATATATGTATATATATGTATATATGTATATATATATATATGTATATATATATATATGCATACATAAACGTGTATATATATATATATGTATACATGTATATATATATATATGTATATGTGGGGGATTTCCTAAAATGGGCCTCAAAATCATCCATTTCAAATATTTCAAAAGGATTTTCCATTATAAACCATTCATTTTGGGGTACCCCCATTTGAGGAAACCCTCATCCCCATCCGGGTGGAAGGGCTCTCAACATCCCAGCGGCAATGAGCTCTGCAACGCCAAGCGCAAAGCTTCTTGCCATTGCCATTGACCGGACAAGGCAACTACCAAACTACCTCAGTGACAGTGATGGAATCAGCATGCGTTGATTCAACCAGAAATGGGTGGCTTAAACATCAAGGAATTAACCAGTCGTAGTCTTCAGCGTGGTGGAACACCGAGACACTCGGGTCAAAGCTCATCTGGCACTCACCGTGACACACTTCTCGTGTCTCCATAATTGGCTACCCAGTAAATTGGCTGCCGCAATTGGCTACCGACCCCAGTTCCATGGACAACCTTGGATGCCCATGAAATCGCTAATCACAACGTATTGTGAGGATGCAACCAACAACAATTATGGTGATTGAACCGTACAAAGGAGGTTTCAACGGTTTCAACCCCATCTGGATGAATGAATGAATAACCACCAAGCTGAATTAAATAATTAAAGCCAGCTGGGGATAGTTGCCCAATCACAAAGATTCCGGTGACGTCACAATGAGATTTTTGCGATGTATCCAGATATATTGGTTATTGCCTTGTATATCCCCTTTCATGTTCCATTCGCATCCCAGTATCTAAATATTTATATCAGAAAACAATATTATCCAGTTAGATATATTCATTTTCTGCACAGCTTGCCATTTTGTGATATCTTCATCTCCAAGATCACCTCGCGGATGCAGGCTGCAGAACTTATCAACGTGGATTACCTTCCTTCATTAAACGTTTCAGAATGCGTAATGGAAGGCCTGAAATATGAGTATGAAAATCACCCCCTAAGTCTCATGGGGTATCATCACATTACTGAAATTGCCAGTTGGGGTGTTTCAGACCCAAAATGGCGAGCTGCAGGGTAAGAAGAGCGTCATTTTTGTTTTAACGCGTTGAGTGGAAATCATGGTTGTTAGACCCAAAATAGGATGGTTTCTGCAGGTGTCCCCTTCAACCATATCAGGGGTAGAATATTTAGATGTGCATCCCACTTACGAAGTTGCTTTAATCCAAATGAAGGTTTTATAAACGTGTTGGACCCAGAAAAATGTAACATTTCGGAAAATATGCAAAACATTGATTTTGGGGGTCCCCTGTTTCTCAGAACCCCCATATAACCAAAATTAAAGGGGTAATGTCTCAACTTATGGATACTTATGGGGTGTGTAACCATGGTTACATCCATTCATAACCACAACAACTGCGTCAGGTGTATATAGATCCAATTTTGGCCTCGCCAGAAGCTCGTTTGATGTCTGGTGGATCAAGAGGGAACACTCCCAACAAAGTCATCCAACATTTCATGGTTTGTTGATCCCCTTCTTCACAGTAGTACCCTCTGGTAATTTGTTACAAAACTATGGAAAATCACCATAGAAATAGTGGAGTTTCCCGTGAAAAAGGGGTGATTTTCCATAGTTTTTTGTAACAAATTACCAGAGGGTAGCTTCTGTGGAGAGTCCAGACCTCAAAAAGGCTGAGAATCAACGTGTCTGACTGCGATCCATCCGTAAATTCAACATGATACCTTTCTTGGAGAATCCATTTCTTATGCATAGCCTCTATCACGCTATTGCTAACTTCGGGAATAATTCCCATTCATAGACCAACATTTTGAAATTAAGCATGATATCCACATGTTCCAATAGTGTCCCTGGTGCAGTCCACGCAATTCCGCATGCCGTTGCTGGCTGGTGTTCATGCAATGTGGCCCCTCAGATATGTTCGCTGCTTGATCTGGACCCATCTATCTAGATATATCTACTATAAACCCTAGTGAACCTAGATATAAATCAATTTGCTTATTACTTATTATTTAGATTATTTAAACCAACTCTAAATTAAATTGTGTGTGTCACAAATCCCCATTTTGGCGGATAGAAACCCACCGTTTAAATCGTTTCAACGGTGGGCACGTAGACCATAAACCGCAGCCAAGGTGCTGCTTGTAATCTCATGAGGAGTTACCTTGTCATGTAGCATCGAGTGGTACAAAGACAGACCTGCCGCAGATCGTGATGCGCTTTACTGATCAGGATTCATCACCGTGACCAGCGTCCTCAAAATACGAACATCATCGGTCACACTTCTTGGGATGGTGTTTAATTAGTGGATTATACTTGGGATGTTCCTATCTATTTAGTTAATCAGTTAATTTATCATGGTGAATCCACAAGTGCTTCGATTCTGAATGGGTGACCTTCAATTCGGCACGTTTGGAAGAAAAGGACCAGCCATGGCCAGCACACGAAAGTCACCCGAAAGTCACGGTCGCCATCGCAAAATGATACCAAGGTTTGATGCTCTATGCATGATATTTGTGGAAGATCCAGTAACCATAATAATAGTGGTTATAATACCAATAATAATGGTTATATATGGTTATATGATGGGATTATAACATATTATTTTTATATATATATATTTATAACAATATCTGGTTGGTGGTGCAATAAACATCTTGAAAAATGATGGAGTGAAAGTCAATGGGAAGAATGACATCACATATATGAAATGGAAAATAAAATTCATGTTTGAAACCACCAACCAGTACTTGATGGCGTAGATGTAGTTGTGCCATGAAAAATACCTTTATCCAATCCCATTAGTGTATCTGATCCCGTTCATGATTGCTTAGTGAATAACAAATAAACTAGGTAGAGTAAAAGCCACTGTTTCAAAAAGCAATCCACGGTTGGGTATCTTGAATTTCTCACTCACTTCGTTGGTGAACTATACTTGCGTTTATCCAGTCCTGTGTCTCCTAATTCTACAAAGTGGTCCAGATCGGATCGTTCAGTTGATGTGAGCTAATAAGGTTTATTGGGGTTTATTGGGATTTAATCGGAATTTAGTCAGCTAAGTTGGTTTATAACTTGATTGACTGTTAGGTTTATGCTGATGAATTACAATAACCATACTTGGTTGGGGTTGCAAAACAACTTGTAACCACCTTCTAGTAATCACAATGTTCTGTTGATGTAATTGCCATGTTTGTTGCGTAAACCACAACTTTTCGCTGTTTTTTATTCCTCAATTTTTCATAAATTTAAGTGGGTCAAAATCCTCATGAAACCAGCACATGTTCATGGTCAATATCACTCATTTGCCAAAGGTATATCTCCATGGTTTGTCGTGTATTGCTTTACACAATAGAAATTTTACAGCGACCTTCCATGGGTGATGCCAGCCTTCTTTGAGTTGCTGGCTTTTGATGCAGGCGCCAATGACCACACCGTGTACCACTTGTGTTGGCTGCATCCCATCGCGCAGCATGATGCGCAAAAAAAACAGCGCCTGACAGGGTGATTTACGGCTAAAAGAAACCACAAACATGATTCACCCTCTGGATATTTAACGTAGCTATAGAAAATCACCATTTTTAATAGGTAAAACATCTATAAATAGGCCATTTTCCATGGCTATTTTCAATAACAAGAGGGTAACTGTGGATATCACGGGGATATAACTGGATATAAATGGATATTTTATGGCATCCCAACGGCATGTAGAAAAAAACAGTTGCCCGAGTCGGTAGTGAATCGGTGGGTTGCTAAATCAACTGATGAAATGTGTGGCGATCGATCTTGGATATAGTAATCCCACCCGAAAAAGAAGACACGATGTTAGTGTAGATGATGTTTTATATACCTATAGAATTTCCAGGTTTCCAATGTTTCTATTCATTTCTGTGTTGCTATATAGTAGTTCGAAATCTCAAAAAATGGGATATCCAAAAGTACAATGTTAGAGACCACTAATTGTGAACAATGATGAATATGATGGGCATGTAAAAGAGTGGGAAATGGGGCTTTGAGGCTAGATAAGCTGTTTTATGAGAGTAGCTTGTCTTTGTATATCGCTGGATGGGTTTAACCAACCTGTGGAGGGGGCACCATGTGAACTATCACCGAGCTTGGGTTCGAATCTTTGGTTTCTATTCATCTTTAGTTTCCAAGATTGAGCGAAAGAAAACATCGATCTATATTTTTCAAAAAACATTGATTAATTAAGTTTGTTTCCCTAAATAATCATTAAATGTTATTAAAGTGGTACCTACCCTGTTCAACACTCTAGAGATTTCTCAATCCAGCGCTGACGTTTTCATTGACTCATCTGCTCCAAGGAAACTGACTGGACCCATGTCGAAACTCCAAACAGCCTCGCGTGAGACATGGGTCTATCAGATTGGTACTCGAAAATTGCATGATTCACCAAAACAAGACGACCAAATGTCTCTGGTCTTTCCGGGGTCTTAAATTGTGACGACACTAATTTTTAACCAGATGGCCTGTCCCCAAACATGACCGAAACTAGATACCCCGCAAAAACAAAACATGTCCTTCAGTTGCTTAGTACAGAAATGTTGCCAGTTTGTATCCCCATTCTCAATGTGATCAACGAATGCCACAAACCATCCCCTATAAAGGTTTATGAACATGAGTACAATGTGGTGCCCCCCTAGTTATAAATTGGTCTATAAACCCCATTAACTATAGATATATCACCTATAAACCATAGTTATTGGAGTTATAAGCTATCTTAGCTGTCTTGGGGGCACCACCTTGTATGTCCCTAGAAATGGGATGATGGGTTGCTATGACCCAGAAGACATGGCTGGTCTTCATGGGAGGCCTCTTCCCATCGGCGTCCACCTTAGCTGTCGACCATGGAAACAACATAAGCATTGGAGTAAGGAGATGGGGGTGCGAACCCTGATTTCATGTCGATATACAAAAATAAGAAGAAAACTAGTCATATAAGTTCCTTTCAATATACATGGTTATGTCCTGAAAAAACACTACTGTCTAGTAAAACCAATGCCACGTCTACATGATAAACTCCAAGTTTGGAGCTTCTCTATCAATTTCTGGTGATATCAATTTGGGATGCCCAATAAAGGCAGTGAAGCGTTACTACAGGCCACAATCCATCCCAAGAGATCATCAAAGCCAAATCCCTCGGCAATAAAAATGGTATGAGTACTTCCGAAATTTGGAAAATATGCAATGCCATTGCCAATCTTAGATACCCTGCACAAAAAATAAATTCTTTTCTGGTTCGTAGATATTCCCATTGATACCAAAAAACTAAAGGATTAAAGTACCCATCTAAGATTGACCTAGATACTACCATCTTTGGGATTGTATCATTACTGGCTGGTGGTTAAGCCACCCCTCTGAAAAATATTATAATATGAGTTCGTCAGTCGGGAATTTTTTCCCAATATATGGAAAACATGTTCCAAACCACCAGCCAGATTAGTTATATCTTATCTATATAATTGTCATTTATGAGGCTTGGCGAGCGTGTCACTTTCCCAGATGCATCTGTCTCAGAATTCGAACCCCCGAATTTGTGGGAATCATCATGTTCCCAAGAAACACATGGCTGAATTTTAACGAAATCATTAGAATTATAGCTGAAACAATGGATTTTGGGGATGATTTCCCTGCCGAACCATCTTCTACCAGTGACATCACAACTCGGTGGTTTGTTGATCCCCTATAGCAGTACAGCTATATTGATCATATAGCAACCCTCAAGAGATAGACAAGTAAAAATCCTACTCGAACATAGGAGAATCGAACGGTTTCTATCTTTTTTTGAGAAGCTCAACGCTAGAATCTATCCAAACATCATATGCATTCATCATATTCAAAATCACATGTTTATTGTTTCGTATCCCATGGGATCCCCAGTTATGCATTGATCAAATCCACATCAAGGTTGGTTACATCGGGCGCCACCTTGTCTTGATTCAATCCTCAGTTACACTGATGCAAAGCGATAGAAATGACATTCATCAGATTTTGCCAACTTCTATGTTAGTTTGGAGATTATTTTATTTATATACAATTTTATACACAATAATATACACAATTATATACCCATTATAGCTATGTGAACATAAAGGAACAGTGACGTAGCCTTTCAGAGCACCACCTTGTACCCGGTTCTGGTTGATTCATCCCAATAAGAAAAAAACAAGATCAATATTACAAATCAATAGTTGGTAAATTGCTTCATGGCAATCACCAAGCAGTTGTTAGTCACAAACCCTCACCAGCATGAATCATGAATCCTCAACCAAAAATTTAAAGCGGTGTTCAAAACTCGCTGCGTCCCTTTTTAGACGCTGGTTGAGAATGGGACCTCCCCCATGGATTCAAAAAAAAGGTTTGTATCACCAAACATTCTTCAACCAAGAATTGAGCGGTATGGGGCCTCCCTCATGGATTCTAATGTATAGGCTGTCACTACGTCAGCTTGCGCTTCTGTTTTCCAAGGTCAAGCACGAAGGTTTATATGCAGCCTGGATTTACCAGGATGCCCCTTCTATGCACAACAAGTTCCTTTGAACTTTTCAGTGGGGCCCTATGGCCATTAAGAGCCCTATGGCTCACACTTACTTCACGCGAGGCACGTGAAGGCACAGACTGGCAAGAGGCATGCCAAAAAAGACCTTGTTTGAAGGACCCCTTCCAGTTCCCAGCGCAAGCGCTCGGGAAGGGAGGGGAGGGAGCCCAAAGCTGCAAAGCTAATCAACCTAGATCCAGCCTAAACTTCGACAACAATCGAAAATATAGGCTGTCACTACGTCAGCTTGCGCTTCTGTTTTCCAAGGTCAAGCACGAAGGTTTATATGCAGCCTGGATTTACCAGGATGCCCCTTCTATGCACAACAAGTTCCTTTGAACTTTTCAGTGGGGCCCTATGGCCATTAAGAGCCCTATGGCTCACACTCACTTCACGCGAGGCACGTGAAGGCACAGACTGGCAAGAGGCATGCCAAAAAAGACCTTGTTTGAAGGACCCCTTCCACGGTCCCATGCATGCTGCCTGAAGGGCAGTGTTAAGCAAGGAGACGGGGTGGGAGGCCACGTTGATACGTGGTGAGGAGGGATTTAGCTTTTGGACTGGTAGTGAGCTGTGACAGCTGAGATTGTCCATCCTCCAGATAGAGTCTGGCGACTTGCAGACTTCTCCATCTTCCTCTGAGTAATATCGCCTCCAGCGTCTGCTGGGTGACGAATGCATGAGTAGCTCCGCCTCTGCGAATGCTGTAGGGTTGGTATTGGTGGTTCCCTAGTTGCAGGAACTCCAACCCCCTGTAAAAAAGTGATCTGAAGGCGGAAGCGCTTTTGGGCCAGATAGTATTTGATCGAGGCGGGGCCTTGGGAAGGTGACAGAGCTCCCACAGACGGTATAGCTCCACGTCATAGATAGCCACGGCCTCATCAATATTGAAACGCAGGCCTGTCTTGCTCCGCTTCACTGTGACTGCACCCGGGCCTGCGGGGCCTAGGTGTATATCCCTGTATTCCAATTTCAGGATCTCCCCGGTGCGAAGGAAGGTGTGGAATCCTAGCGCCACCAAGAAAGCCATGTGGGCTTCTTCCCAGGAAAGAAAGAGGCCCACAAGCGCCAGCGCGATAGGACGCGGCAACGGCGGCGCTCTCTGGGGGATCTCAATCCTTCTCCAGTTCCTGTAAAGCTTCCACGCACCCCGCAATTCACCCTTCAACTGCGGCCAATGATGTTGCAACCCACAAAGCGCGTCTCCAATGAGGCCCAAGGGTGTACCCTTTATCCATTGCATCTCGACCCATTCTTCACAAAGGGGGTCCAACTCATGCAAACTCCTGACCCCTTCCAAGATGGGAAGAAGATGCCCCAAAGCCGAGTCGTAGCGGGCTTCAGTCCTTGTGCGTATGCCCAAGGCCCTTAGGGAGACCCCTTTACGTGCGGCCTGGCGTTCGGCCAGCGTTTTCCCCCTTTTAATTGGGCGTCGAGCGGCTGGCGGCATCCGTTGGATTCTCTATGGAATCCACATGGCCCTGAAGCTGGTGGGAGTTCAGAGCCAAAAGGTAAGCAGCGATCTCCCTCGTCAAAGGTTGAAGCAACTTTGAGGATGTTCTCCCCTTACTTAAAATGAAGTTGGAAACCATACTGTCGGCTAAATGTAGCCAACGGCTGTTGAAACCTGAATCCTTCCGTGCCCTCCATTTGATGCTTTGCAGGATCATCCTCATTTCCAAGTCGTTTATGTGACTTACATGCTTCCACTTAGTGATAAAAAGGATTCGCCACTCCCACCAGTCTGCCCGCAAGGAAACGTGGTTTTGCGTTTTTCCTGTAAAAGGTATCCCCAATGAGATAGAGACATCTGACCCTGTATGGTTAACCTGCCTAGACAGCTGCGCGGTCAACGCAGCTACCGAAACCTCCCCCAGGTCCTGGCCTCCATAGCCCAGCTCTTGCTTGATGACCGCCACGTAGTTCCTGTCCAGACTGGCTCCCGGCGCCAACCCCATGCGGTCCAGCACCTCCTGAGGGGTGAGAGGTTTGACCCATCGTTTGCAAAGTTGAGAGATGACCCAGCCAAACGAGAGCATGGAGAAGGAGTCTCCCAACACCGACAGGCGCTTGTCATTGTAGCCCGTGGGATCCTCTTTGGCTTTCCCTGCGGCCAGCGCAAAGATAGTGTGCCCTTCGCCGAAGCCAAGGAGTCGCTCGCGCTCGGCCGCCGAGGGGTACCGAAGGTCCCGGTCATCATTGATCAGCAGAAACTTCCTCCGGTATTGATACGGAGGGAACCGGTATGCGTCAGAAGCCCAGCGCTGAAGCGCCTCGGGCTCGCAACGGCTTATCCCTGCCGGTTTTGGCGGGGGTTTTTGTCTGCTGATAGCCTTCATGAAAGTTGGCAGTTTCTCTTCCGGACAGCACCTACGCCAACCTGGGTCGACCCATGCGGCGTCAGGCACAGGTTCGGCTGCCATGTGCACCCTGGTGTAGCCACTCTGGCGTTCCAAGGTGACACCCTCGCCGGCCTCTACGGCTGAGCTCACCCATGCCAACCGTGGCCTGTTGTAAGGCAGCACATCTGACGGGCAGAGCGCTAGAGGCTCGACGCCCAGTTGCTGCGAGATCTCCTCTCGCGCCTCAGCATCCATGCTGAGGACGTTTTCCACCACGAACTCCACCGCGGCGGTCGGACTGAACACCTCCTCCACCCATTTAATGAGCTGCACCAAGTTCCAGAACAGCTTTGAACCTTCGCCACTGAGGTTCATCCTTCCGGCCCTTACTGCCGATAGGTGCACGCAAGGGAAACCCCCTATGACGTCCACCTGTTGAACGCGAGGGAATGCGTTGAACCATTCCTCCACCATGGCTTTATCCACCTCCTCAACGTCTTTCACCTCGATGACCTGAGGCCAGGCTTTGCGGGTGATCCGCTGGGCGGCCTTGTCCCACTCAATTGCCACCAGGCCTTGCGGGCGCACGCCAGCAATGTCGTAGCCCCGGAAGGCTCCGCCGATCCCATTAAAGACCGACACTACCAAAAGGTCGGCGGCATGCGGCTCCATAGCCACCGACTCGGCCCGTTGGCAGAGTAAGCGGCCGGCGCGGGAAAGTCCCAGCGCAGCGGCCACAGCTCCGCCATGATGTGAAGCGTCGGAACATGTCACGACGTCCGAGAATTCCATCCGCAGGTCGAACTGGAGGAGCGGTGTAAGGCAGAGGAGGGTGCTCATCTCCTCTCTTACTACCGGCCACCATCGTCGCCTGTCCTGGCCTTTCCTCATGTAGTTCCAGCACCTGCTCAATGTTGCCATGGCGGGGCGACGGTATTGAAGGATGAAAATCCAACGCCCCAGCACAATTTGTACCCACTTCACTTTAGGGTTCCTCTCTCCCAACAGGAGTAGCGTCACTGCCAACAACTGATGGAAGCGCTGTGGTCCTCCTCCAACCAAGCCTTCCTTTCCATTCAGCGCCACTCCAAGTTCCACGGCCTCTTGCGATGCCAGAACATGCTTATCTTCTGCACAAAGGACTCCTTCGCGTGTCCAGATGCCCACGGCCTCTTGATGCAGCGCAACGGAGCCTTCTCCAGCGCTTGACTTGGGGCCCACTTCCCCTGCCATGTAGTTGTCAAGGTAGACTTGCCAAAACTGGCGTTTTCCAGCCCTCTGCAAGAGGTTCACGAACCACGGGGGCGCTATCATCTGCCGGTGAAGCTCGGTGGCGGTGAACTGGCTCCCTCGTCTGATCAGCTCTCGAGAGGCCATCTGCATAAGCCCCACGCTAGAGCTCCATCCCATGGGCAGCACTACACAAGTCGGGACGTATTGCACTCCCGGACGTAACCCGATGCGGGAGCCGTCCACCTTGGTGTTGAAGCAGAGGTAAGGCCTCCAGCAACTTGGCAGCCGGAACAAGTAGAACGCCGACGACATGTCAGCCTGCGACGCGTGGACCGTTTCCGTCTCCAGAAGGCACATCTGGGTCCAATTGGTTGCCATAGGCAACTCCTTGATGTCTCCCTTGATGATCCTCAGCGCCCTGTTTATGGGCTTCAAGTTCATGATAACTCTCAGCAGGGGCTCCCCATTCGTAGCGAACTTGTTCGGCTTCTCCACACCAAAAAGTCCAGACAAAAAAGGTCCCTGGGTATCCCTGTAAACTTCCGAAAGGGGTAGCCAGTCAGTGACCCCCCGCTCCTTTAACAGATTCCAGACTCCCAGCTCCTCCCCAGGCTTTATATGCACCTTACCAACGTTTGACCCGGGTTCCTTCATGTCCTTCTCCAAGAGGTTCGCCGCAGGATGCTGCAGGAGATGCCGCGTCCTCCCAACCAACAGCGGCACCAAGTCCACCGATCCTCCATGGCCTGCAGGGGGGAGGCTGGTCTCGATTTGATTAAGGGTTAAAGGAACAGGTTCCGTGTACTCCTCCCCATCGTATGAAAGCTTCTTTTTCTTTAAGTCCTCCCACAGCTTCATGGGGTTTACTGTCTCCTCTTTAAAAAGTTGGAGGAAACGTTCAACCCTCATTTGAATGCCCTGTACTGCTTTAACGGACTGCTGCCCTTTTCGCTGCGACGGCAAAGGTCCCTTCCATCCAGCCAACTTGTTGAGGGCTAGACAAATGAGGTCAGTCCAAGCGCTCACTGGGCTCGGACTCCCCTCTGTCGGTTTCTTGAAACTTACCGGTAGGGGAAAAAGTCCCTGGCGCCGACAAGAAGCATCTGTGGATGCGTTGTGCTTGACCATGTTGAAGTATTCATCCATCCCCTGGGGTGTGGCGCCAGTGACTGCCCCTTCAACCAAGCTACATCCTAACGTGCCCGGCTCGGAGAATTCCGCCCAAGCCAAATTGGAGGGAGAGGGCTGCAAGGGAGACGGATCGCTCCCAGCGCCTGCAGGCTCCTTCCTGTTTGGGCTGGACTCATATGCTCCCAGATAGGGATCACTCAATGCAACAGGGTCCATCAAGGACTCTAATTTCTCAGCAAGCTCGTTTGAGCTAGCCAAGGAGAGGGAATCTTCTCGACACTCCCTCTCAAGGATTGGGGAGCCCATGCCTGTCCCAGCGCTGCCAGCGCACGGTGATGAGGCTCCAGAGGGGCTCCTGCCCTCACTCATTATATCTTCACCTATTTCGTTCCCCCATCTGGGGGCGCTTCGGCCTTGTCCTTGTCTCGCCAGGCTCCTTTGTTGGCTTTTCCTCCGCCCTTGCGGTTCCCTCCTTTTCCTTTGCCTTTTCCGTCTCCTCGACTCCCGCTGGTGTCGCCCTTGGCCTCGCCTCTGCTGCCCCAGCTCGGTTGAGGAGCTCCGGGGCGTGGCCACGTCTTCCGGCCAGAGGCTTTTTCTATCTGGCGGGTGTGCTTCTGGGCCTGCAGCATCACCGAGGGAGGCGCCAGCCCCGTGTGGCGCACGGGAATGACCTCCAAATGTTGGGCGTCGGCCCAATTGTTGGTCAACCCAGCGCTCTCGACTGCCAGAAAGCGACCTGCTAATGCGTCGCCTAATTCCGGGAGTCGCCCCCCCCGGAGCAAGTCCAGGCACCTCGCCAGAGTTTCTAGCTCTCGACAGTCTCTCACCTTGCTTCCCAATTGGGGTCGAGCCACAATCTGGAAGTACGAGGAGATCTGATTTGCGGTCGGCCCCAGCGCCGTAGGCAGCCCGGAGTCCGTTACCGCAGCTTGAGCTAGGGCGTCTGCCACGTTCGTCATCAGAAGTTTCAGCACTGACCCTGGGTTTCGTGCTGCCTTCTTCTGCAACGGGGGCACCAAGCTCGACGAGGACGTTGAAGAGCTCCGACTGTGGCTGCTGCCAGAGCGCCGGCGGCCACTCTTCGACCGCCTTCGCCTCTTGCGACTTCTTGATCGCCGACGCCTGCGACGATGCCCTCCAGAGTCCTTGCGGTCTCGGGCTATCTGAGCCGCTGCGGACACCAGCGCATCGCGCAAGCCCGGTGCCCTGCGGTTCTCGGGGTCTTTTCGCCGCATGGAGGGTGACCTTTGTCTTCGGTCCGGCTGGGGTCGATCGTTGATAGCTTTCAGATCGTTCTCCTCCTCCCGTGGGGGAATCATCTCCTCTCGCCTCTTCTGCAAGATGGCGTCCTCTTTTCGCTCCTCGGGCGCCCTTTCCGCTCCTTCTTTCCTGCTCTTCAGCCTCTCCTTCAACCTGGCGATCCGATCCTGGACATCTCCGTCCTGTCCTGGCCCCTCCTGCGCGGGCCGACCACCGGCCTTCATGACATCTGCGTACAGCTTCCTCCACTCTCGCACCTTGGGTCTTCCCACGTAAGACGGGGGCTCGAGCCCTGGTGCAAGGATGAGGAACTCCCACACGTGATGGCCACGCTCTTCCCGGACTTTGCAGCGCAATGTGCCACCTCTGCAAACATGCACTGGTTGACGTTCCCGGGAAAAGGTCTTCACGGCCCATTCGTGAAGCCATACCTGGGAGGCCCCAATGTACTTCACCTGAAGCCAGGCCCCATGGTCGCCCATCTCCAGCTCCTTGATGAAGAGCAGCACAAGGCCCTCTCTTTGCTCTGAACCCTCTGGTGGCGAACACGGTATTTCTACCAGCGCCCCTGGCACCAATATATTGCTGTCCCACGATTGGGGGTCCGTGGCACGGAAGGCGATACCCATTCCAGGTTCCACGCCATTGCCTTCTCTCTCCCGCCGTGCTGCCTCCATAACTTCTACCTCCATAGCTTCTGCGGCCTCCCTGGCTGCACGGTCCCCAGGACCAGCGCCACCCGCTGCCCCCTCGAGGGGAGTTGTGGGAGAGTATGCCTCTCTGTCCCATCCCCCTTCGAGTGGCGGTTCATTCATCGCTTCCTCCGTCGGTGACTGTCGCGCTCTCCGCCCAGATCAAGGGGGGGCACGTGCAGCCTCTGATGGAAGTTGCGGTCCGGTTCGTATAGACCCCTGTGGATCTCCTGGTGCTTCTCGCCTCCTCGACGGCCTCGTCTCCGGCTCCTGGAACGATCCCTTTTCTCCGGCGCTGGAGCGCTCGGTGGATGAGGTGGTTCTGGGGGCCTCTCCGAGCCTCGTTTGCTCTCACGTGGTGGTTCTTCCGCTCTCTTATCACCTGGCGAGGGGCTCACGCTACTGGCTGGTGAGCCGTAATCCACCGCTTCTCCCGGCGGTGCCTCTCTTCTCTCTTCCTCTGGCTCTTCTTTCGGTGGCGGCTCTCTGACGCTCTGGCTGCGTCTCGGTGCGCTCTTGGCGCTCGCTTGGTTCACCGCCTCGGCCTCCTTGAGCTTGAAGGTGGTGTTGTTCAGGCGGTCGGTCAGTGAGGTGACCTGGCTATGCACTTGCCTGTCCAAAGTTACCACCGCCTGCAGCTGGCGGGTTGTCTGGAAGACCAGTTCTTCCCCAAACGCCCGGTGCGCAGGAAGGTTGAACCGGTGTTTGGATAGCTCGTTCAGCGTCTGCACGCACGAACAGAGCAAACACCAAGTGTCCCCTTCCTGGCAAGATCCAATGCGGCACTTGCGGCAGCACAGGGGGGTTTGGCGCATACTTAAGCCCAAAGCTGCAAAGCTAATCAACCTAGATCCAGCCTAAACTTCGACAACAATCGAAAATATTGGCTGGTATCACCCCCAATCATCAAGAATATCAATGATATCCCCCATGTTTTGGATGGTCAAGCCTTTAGAAACCAATAATTCATTAGTTAAATTACCATCTTAAACCCATCATGGGACTTGTGATGGCTATTTTTAAGCCCTAATGGATTGATGACCATCCAACAAAGGAACACAGCCCATGTTTTGACCCTGGAACATGTAACCATCGCTTCCAACGGGGGGTTGCTAAGTTGCGGTTCCAAGATCGACCCCAACAGGGCTCCACACGTTCGCAGGCGCTGATCAGCGTGGCACAGGTGATGGCGTCAACGTGCGATTTCTTCATTTGACCAAATCTCGGAAGCCGATCTGAGGCCATGCTGGGCTTCACCAACATGCGAAAAAAATATGCTGAGAACAACAAAAAAGTGGCTTTAGCTAAAGTTAAAATGTATGAACATGTTGGGTTGAACTATTAGCTATAGTGAAAATGGTGGGTTGAACTATGTTGAACTACAATGTGCTAACATGGGCTGAAAATCCCCAGATCTGCTGAGAGTTCACTTGCCTGTCCACTTGCGCAAGTCTCTCGGTGTATTCTTGCCTGGCTTCTTCGATTGCAACCCCAGTTGCTGCAAAAAAGAAAGCATCATTGGTAGCAACCTCTTTGCTCTCTAAATCTGGTCTGCTCTCGAGGAGAAAGCATTGCTTATAGTTGGCAGAAACATCTCCAAGTTCCGAAGCAGATCTTCACGGTGTTTCGCTCTTGGCGTGGACACCATGGCCACAGAAGCAGCTTCCCCTCCTGGGCGCTCGATCCGACCAGAGACGCAACACTGCGCTGAGCAGGTAACTCTTGCCAGAAGCAAGACTGCATCTGAAGTCACCTCCAAAAGCCCGTCCTCCAGCATTGTCACTGACCCGTGGCTTCGGCAGCCAGCCATTCTGCCCTTGCTTTCCAGTCTTGAAACACGTATCATCCGCACCAGGCTCCAGACTGCTCGCTTATCCCAAAGTCGGACGGGTTCCCCCAACCTAAAGACATGTATCCAATGTATCCCTAAATCCACTTAGTCATCATTAGTTTCCATCTAGCTGGTGGTTTTAACCATCTTGAAAAATAGGAAAGTCAATGGGAAGGATTATCCCATATATTATGGAAAATAAAAAATGTTTGAAACCACCAGCCAGCCATTAATGTCATCAATGTATATTTGCTATGATCTGGGGTATACAGGTCATTTTCAGACACACACACACACATACGAGCTAACTAAGGTCATCATCGCAGGGGCGGTATTAGTATTGACCAAGAAAAAACATGAAAACTATCGCATCCCACCAGAAATCCTGATTCTATAGTTTATGGTTAGATGGGTTTGTAAACCAACTTATAAGTTATGTATTATATCCCATGAGCAATATCCCTATCATTGTCTGATATTGCTAGTGAAATACCCTCAGCTGTCCTCTGGTAATCAAATGTCTTTTGCTGGAAAATCGACTAGCATAGTTCGATAATTTTCCCAGCGAACGAAACCTCCCAGCTACGATGACCGGATGTCCAATTGCCGTGTTTGATGACCGGGGTAAAGCAAGCACGTTGACTCCCTATTGAATACCTATTATGAATGGTTTTCACTGTCAGTCCTGAGATTTTTTGCCATTCTAGTGGCATATCCCAGTACATTGACCGGCCCATGAAATCACCAGTCAGTACCCTCTGGTAATTTAACAGTTCACTATGGGAAATCAACATTTATAGTGAATTTTGCAGGTAAAAATGGTGATTTTCCATAGGTATGTAAACGCTACCAGAGGTATTGAACGCTTTTATTCTTTTGTTTGTTCCCATCCCCTTAAAATCCAAAATAAAACTGGCAGTCTGGTCCCAAAAAAGGTGAAGAAGCATCCCCAGAAAATCGTGGCCCTGGAGGTTCTTTGAACCATATTCATATGAACAGGGATGGGATGAAGAACTGATTGGATGTTACAGTGCTCCAAACTATGTTGTAACACACTTGTAAATGGATTGGATATTCAACTTATATGTTGGATCCATAAAAACCATAGTTAGTGTTGATGCCATTTATATCCATGTTAACGTTGTAACATACGAAAGTAAAACAACTCGCTTCCCATTCCGTGGCGTCGTGGCGTCGTGGCATCGCCAGGGAACAGCTGGAGAGCCTTGGCCCATTCACTCGCTTTCTCACAGGCCACCACCTCAGAACGGCGGAAAATCCGGCGGATTTTATCAATGGCCATTTCAGGAACCTAAATCCGAAGTACCATACATGTAAGGCCTATATAAGGCCTTAATTTCAGGGAATATCCCGACAAAATATGGTCTTATATGGTACAGTACCTCCATTTTAGGATTCTGAAATTCCCATTGATTTTCTGACATCGGTGTTTTCCATGGTTTTTTTTTTCTGGGTTGATCTGAGGGAAACTGCTGGAAATATGGAGAAAACTTCAGGAAAATAAGATCTTCTAAGATCTTCTAGGATAAGAATGTGGTAAAATATGGTGACATGATGGAAGCGGTGACTCATCGCTGAAAAAGCAATCGAATCGTACCCAAGACCCAGATCACCACCTTTGGCTACAAGATGGGGCAAGACACTACGGAATAGACACAATTCGATGCACCTTGAAGTGGTTGTTAAGCGTTTTAAGACTGTTATAATCTCACTTACAAACTGGGATACGCATAAAAAAGTTCCCATGAAACTACCATATTCGCTGATTCACCAAAGTTCCTGATGAAAACTTTTGAGATACAGTTACCATCTTGTTTCAATCTCCACTTGGTTAAACCACATGAAATCGACATCTTTCGTGAAAAATCACCATGACTTTCCAGCAACGCCGTCACCACGTCCCAGTGGCCAGCGAGCCGTAGGAGACCTTGTCCGGCGCCCAGCTGTGCTGCATCTCTGCGAAAATCTGAGACGCCTGCTGCCATTGCCTCGATCATCGTGGCAAATCAACGGACTTTTCCATAGAACTGCATCCTTTCTTCAATGGTGATTGAACGGCGTGTTTTTCCTTTTCTTGTAATGGCATATGGAAAAACATGTATATTCGGTATATGATTAATTTGATATTCCACTCAACATGTATATTTTGTTTACTCCACTGGGTAGTGTTTGTGGGGTTAAAACCATTTTTTTTTGAAAAAAGGGATTCTCCACGTGGCGGATTTACTCTCACCAGTTGGATGATCCAAGTAGATGGTATATGTACATTAGAATGTTATTCGATTGGTGAGAACAACATGCAGGAAACCCCCTGCAGAATGGGTATAAGAAAAAAACATGTTCGAACCTGCAGCTTATCCTTTGAACCAACCACTTTTATGACTTTGATGTATGTCCCTACCATGATACCATGATATACCGACATCGGGGTCAAGTTTGGGGCTAAAGTTGGAACATATTGATTACATTGAGCCCACGAGATAACAAGATATGTAAATAAATGATAAATTACATCATATAATATCTGTGTGGTATACATATCACATATTTTATATATACACAGGATATATAAATACACGACAGTCGTTTTTTGCTTGATCATAAGAATGATGTAAGTTGTATCCAATTGGGGAAATGATGTCACTTGTTCAATCTTTCTATGCTTTTTCTGTTTCCGTTTCCTGCAAGCCATTGCTTCCAGTTCACACAAACATGTTTTGATCAATTTCTGGGTCCAAAACTGGATGGGACATGGTGCTCATCAACTACCCTTCAATGGTAAGACGCATGGAATCATCTCGGTAATCAAACATGGCAACTCAGAAAAATGAACATGCAAAGTTCGACACACCCATTCAAAGCCATGGCCATGATTACTGGTTGGTGGTATACCTACCCCTGGCCCCTCTGAAAAATATGAGTTCGTCAGTTGGGATGATGAAATTCCCAATATATGGAAAATACAATTCATGTTCCAAACCACCAACCAGTGATTATTAACCATTAACCATCATTAACCACTATTATTGGTATATAATCCCATTATAAAGATGAATATATCCATTAAAGGAAGGATGTGGTTGGTGACTTACCGTAATTCACCTACCTCCAGGTGACCAGGTGCGACTTGGCGGAATTTCGGAAGTGTACGATTTCAGGCCCAATCGACATCGGCTGCTATGATCCATGGAAGATCTTCCACCTTCAATCCGTGCTGGTTGGTGGTTTCAACCCCTTTGGAAAATATGAAAGTCAATGGGAAGGATTATCCCATATATTATGGAAAAAAAACATGTTCCAAACCACCAACCAGCGTGACACTTTTATGTGGAGCATATTTGGGGACTTTGGGTTATACATGGGTAGCTAACTAAGGTTATAAGTCATTTCTTTCATGTCAACCCCGGATTCATAGAATTCATAAACCCAAAAACGGCTGATTGGGGAGCTACCATTTTAAATATTTTAAGAGTATTAGATTACCAATGATTACTATTTGGGGAGTACCCCCCTAAGAAACCATGTTGGAACTGCCCAGGTGCTGTCCCTTGCCACAACTCGCCATGGTGGCGTTGAAAGTCAAACGATCCGCCTGAACACGGAGCTGCACAAAACGATGAAAAAAACACCATTTTGAATGGGTAAACCAACTATTTCATCTATTTCTATGGCCTGTTTCAAGTTCGCCCATTGTTAGTTTACCACACTTGACGGGTGCAGTTCCGCTAATCAATCAGATGGATAGATTCAAGCAGAACAAGAATCAGGAAAGTTTGTTTAAAGTGATTCTTACCATTCTTGAGGGTTCCTGCCAAATTCCCAGCAACCAATTCTGGGAAATTGTGGTTATATGGCATGGCTGTGTTTTTTTCGGGATGCTTCTTCTGCAGGGGTGTATCCATGGTCATGCTCATTAACAACTCCAGATGCAGTCAAAATCAATGCGAATCACCACAAAAAACAGAAAGCAACTAAAAAGCTGATGTAGAACAGCAACTAATACACTCTGGGATAGCACGACTACACTTGGATGTGGTGATGAGGCTGTCGTCAGCAATCCCTAAAAACCAGGTGAAACTGACCTCTCAACCAACCCCATCATCGCGATGGTGAAGTTCCCTTATAAAGTAGGGCCCCAAACCCTAGCTATAAGTTGGTTTCTAACTGGGTTAAGTTTGTGAGGCCAGAAACAAATGAACCGGCACAGGCAAGAAACCTAAAAAAAAAAGGCCAGGGGAATTCACCAAGTAGTGGATTTCCCATTGACAAAAGAACACAGAATCTTCAGCAAATCCAGGACTTGGTTTCCCTCGGAAACTGCCGGCCTTGCCCGCTGCCTGTGCTTCCTCAAAGAGTTGCAAAGCTGCCGGCCACTGCCTCAGAAATCCGGAAATTCGGGCGCGGCTTCTGATTTCAGGTGGTGAAAATAAGACTCGCTCAGCATTTTTTGGTGACAATGATTGACAATGTCTTGTACTATCGATTATTTGCTCTGAAATATCCATCATTCATTGAAGTCAGAGTGTGGTCAGGCCATTTTGAAATTCAAACACAACCTGGCAACAGGGATCACCCTCAAGACCATTTGCAGGTTATATTCGAAATGCTAGCTTCCAGAAAATTACTCTATAGTTACCCTCCCTCCAGTTCTTATAAGTTGGTTTATAAACCCCATTAACTATAGGTACTCAATGATAAAACTACTATTTGGGGATGGTTCGTACCACCCAGTTATTCTCATATTGGGGATAGTATGGAATATATCATTGGGTTTTTGCTTCTCACATGAATGACCTGAAAGAAAATGACTAATGAGCTCATGGGCTCTAATGACTACCGGAAACCGACACTCTATGTTGGTTAACAGATTCCTGGCGAAAAAATAATATGTAAAGAAAAACAGACCATGCTATGTTCAATCCCTTCCCCTTACGAACCGGCTTTTGTCAATCATTGACGTCGCTTCTTAACTAGGATGGGAATGCAACAGGCTTGCGACTTCATGTATGGAGGACCTCATGGATATGGAATCTTTACCAGCACATTACTTAGTCACGATATTTCAACAAATATACCATGCATTGAGATATGGAATACTTATGATATCTTATGATTATCCCCAGTTTGACAATGGATTTACCATGATGGTATATGTACTGGTCATATACAGGCTTTAGTATCACCGTGGGCAAACAATGTGGTCATGGTGGGTTTCAGGTCACAATCTTATGTGAACCTGCAAATTTCTAATTACCACACGCACATAATACCATGACCAATCTTGGATACCCTCAGAAACAACCAAAACATATGGAACATATCCAGCATTTATAGCAACATTTATCAAGGTCGTTAGTAACAGTTAGTACTAACCTTCCACGACCGAGATACCAGGTGGGTGTTGCTCCCAAGAACTCATTTCCCCTGCTCTAACTACCACCTGAAATCCATTGGAGCAAGCCTGCATCATCCCAATTGTCAATAATTCTCATTGTTATTGGGATGATTTTTTGAAAATTATCATCTCATATAGTTATCCCAGTTAGTTCTTATCAATAACTAAATTATCATCCCATAGTTATTATTCACCAATATTCACCATTTACTTCGATGATTTTCCCCTATTTTTCCATATTTTTCCATTTCCAAGGGGATTTTTCAGCGATGACACCGAATCGCCGAGTCACGTACAGCGGCTGCAGGCGGAGATCGTTGCCTCCGATTTCACCAGGGGTTTTTCGTGTGAAACCTGCAACGTGGGGCCCCCCAGTTATAAGTTGGTTTATAAACCCCAGTATAGTTATAAGTACCATAAACCATAGTTATTGGAAATATAAACCAACTTAGCTATCTAGGGGGCCTCACATTCTGTGATTTTTAGGGCAAAAAGAAAACATATCTTTGGCACTTTGGATTTCAGGCACTTTGGCACATCAGCAGCAAAACATCGAGGCATTTCAGATTTTACCAAAGATTTGGATCCAATTGGGGGGCTGTAAAACACCAACAATTGTAGGACAACTTCGGATTGTTTAGAAAACAAGTCATGAATTGACCGACAAACACGAACTAAAACAGCCAACCAAAGGATTCCCAACCAAATCCTACATATTGAGATTCAATCAGCAAACATGTGGATCTATATGGATCTATCTAACAAACATGAGGGTTTAACCATGACAACCAAGCAAGTTACGCCGACATCGGTGGATTTCATCAACACAATCAATGGGAATTCGTGAGGATTTCGCATACTGGTTGGTGGGCCCCATGGGAATAGCTAAATGGGTTTATTTCACAAGGGTGAATTCTACTAAGGTGGTGGCCCATAGTTATTCACATAACTCAGGTTTCTGGTAGATATATCTACATATCTTTATAATTAACAATTAATTGGGGATATAAACCTAGTATGGTTGATCAATAGCTCAGTCCATTGCCAGTTTTCATCACCGCAGCATACCGCAAACCAGTACCAGTACCAGGCGTGCGCGGCCGCCGGTTCTCTTGGGGAGCTTGCCTCGCAGCTCATGCTCTGTCGATGTCCGTGTCAGTATGCTCAGGCCTCGCGTTGTGAATCATCGGCGGTTTCTCGGTCAAGCGCGGGCGCCGTGGCTGGCGTCTGGCCCACCTCCGTCTGGTCCAGCACTTGGGATTCTTTCTTTGATGCGCAAACTGGTGCACACCCGAAGTAACAATCTCTTCTTGGCTGACAGTAGCCAACCAAGGGTCTGACAAATTTTCCTTCGCCCAATCACGCCCAATCAAGACAGAACCCAGGCTAAGAGCTTTCAATTTTTCCCAAACATATTTTAGCAATTATACCCATTGTTGCAACCCACACCTCCCCTGAAAAAAACATCTATTTTTTGTTGATGAAATCAGCACTATCTTGTGCTAAGGCCATCCATTTTGGGAAGCACCAGAACCCCCAGTTGCTACAGTAGCTCCACTGGAGTTATCCACAGCCAAGAAACGTTGTATGACACCGTGCTGACTTCTGGAGAATCAGAGAAGACCATCAGCGCCTGGCCCAGTGAAACACGGCGAAGCTAGGTTTTAAAGCATGTGCTTCTTCCTAGTTGATTATCGCATATTATCACATACAATGATTGAACGAAGAAAAACTCAACCTAGGATTTATAACGATGGATTATGATGATAAAAACTGGTTGGTGGTTTCAACCCCATTTTCCATTCCATCTGCTGTGTCACGGCGACACTTGGTTGTGTCATGCCTGGGCCCATCAGTCTCAGCCGCCATGGTAGTCGGGCTGGACCACATGTGCTTCTTCGATGCATTGATGGGTGTATGGGTGAAACACCTCTGGAAGCTCTGTGGCCTCGGACCCATTTGCCAAACTGTAGGCGAAGTCAAACATGGCTTGTCCAAGGACGACATTCAACCCTTTTGGGTAGACTTTTGCCTTGGCTGTCTGAAATGAACCATCAGTTTGTTTGCCAATGAGTGCCTCATGGGTGTTCGGTGGATGCGGGCATCTTCCCATTCGTCCCATCTGCATTAGTTGATTGCGTACTCCAGGGAGCCGTAGCAACAGGAGCGTAGTAGGCTTTCTGCCAGCTGCATCGCAAACACATTGGTCGAAGCTCATGACCGAGAAACATTGGAGTCCTTTGAGCAACTTGACCGCATCCAGTGCCCACACACTAGCGGGGCCAAGGTGTCGGCACCATGTGGGGTACTGTGGGTGTTCAAGGAAGCCCGCCATTCCACATACATGCATGCATGCATGCATACACAACTTACTCATACCAGTCTATACGTGGATGTTATTGCGAAAGAGCTGGCGCTGTCTGAGGCGACTTGATGTTATTGGATTAGTGTGTTCAGTATTGTTTATCTAGCTGGCCTTCTATTTGGATGCAAATCAATCACTCGTACTTAATCTTCCACACACAACTTGCTCCGCACCAATCCTTCACCATCTCTTTTCTCTTTCCCGCTTTCCCAATGCTATCTTTACCTTTCTTTTGCTGCTTGTTGGAAGAAGTTGACATGTGGGGTTATCCGGTCCTTTAATTATGACCTAGTTAGCATTATATCCATGTTTACTACCTGATGGTTGTCCAATTATATCTCCATCATGGTTGGTTTTAGACCCCTGTTGTTGGTAAATCACAATACACACATATATATATAAATATTGACGAGAAATTCGACATATCCAAAGATTAAACTACGGTAGCGAAGATCCCAGATTGACTATAAATACTCTACTTTGTAAACAAACATGGCAACTGCAAATCGCCTATTGAAGGCTTCTAGCTGGGAAAAACATGTATAAATGGGAAATTGTCCATTACCATGTTTGATTACCAGAGGGTACATCATACTAAATCCGTTGAAATCCCAAGTATCTTGCCACGTTTGATGACACTGGAGGGTATCTCCCCAGTCTTGGACCCTTCATTACCCATAGGATCCATGTATGCTATACATGGTAACATGGATCCCATCGATATACCCAAATGTTAGCACATATACCAGCACCATGGATCCTATGGGTTATGAACCATCATTAACACTCATTAAAAATTAACCGTCTTTTTAGCCATTATGAACCACTATGAACCACTTTTGATCACTATCAATCACTTTTAATTAACCACCATTATTACGAGGATATAGCCATCTATCAACCATAACCACTATTAACCACTAACCACTGTTGACCACAATTAACCACCCTTAACCACGGTTATTACGAGGATATAACCACTTATCAACCATCAGATCCTGCTTCGCGAAGCGCACAGCGCCCTTGGCGATAGCGGCACCTTCTCCCACTGCATGCCCTTGGCGCACGCCGCGATGGCAGCGCTACGGCAGCCCTCGTCCGCATCGGGGCTGGCGTCCTAAGGAGTTGCGGCAGGGCGTAATGATGAGGGAAAAACGTTAGAAAACTAGAAAACCTTGGAAGGCCAGGTGGAACAATGATGAACAAATATGTGTCAAGGAAAATCAGCGGAAAATGATGGTGGGACCTAGGAACACGATGATTTTTGAAAATGGATGACTTGAAGGAATGGCTTTTTCAGCTGGAAAAATGATGCGTTGCTGTCAAACATCATGATTTTGATATGTTTTAGTCACAACAACATAGAGATTTCACCGAAATTGAAACTGGGGCTCTTCAATATGAGGAGTTCAACCGGAAAAAGGACAAGAACAGCAAGAAACAATGTGAGGTTTTACCAGGAAAAAACTATGTGATTATATCACACAACCATGAAGATGGGTCTGTTTGACACAGAAAAACATGAAGAAGTTGTTTGCAAACACAAACGCACAAATCATCGTACCCGGAAATGTGATGATTTTAGTCTATGGTTGATTTAAACACATTGAGTTTCAGCTGGAAACATGATATGGTTTTACAACGGCAAATGGTGATTTCAGCAAGCCTTTTTTTTGGCTGGTGATTTTCAGTATGAGATCATCCATTTGAAGAGTTTATAGTTTTGAACTATTCCCGCATGGAGGTGGGTCACTTGTTCACAAGAAAATATGGAACAGGGGGATCTTAATGAATTAAAGTTGTGACCTCGCAAAGGATCTGATGTCAAATCACCAACATAAATACACATGGCCCCAAAAGGTGCTGGGCCAGAAAGCTCCGATCCCCGTGGTGGAGATGAAGAAAGAGATTTCAGGAAACAGTGTTTGGAGACAAGCCTGAAGGAAAATTCGGCCAAAAAGGCGCACATGAGAGGTAGGCGGAAAAGCTGGCCACGGGCTACAGGCTATATCGTCCCCAGAGGTTTCCAGAAGCCAGCCTATCAATGAATCACTTTCAATGAAGGCAAAAATAATGGCAGTCACAATGGCACTGCCGCAGGAGTGACCTGATGGTTTAACCAACCAAAATGTTGCCATGGTGCCATAATATGAGGGATTCATTCACCAACAATTGGACATATAACCAATAAAACTAGAGCTTTAAAAGATACGTTGATGTGAGCGCAGCAACAAGACTTGAACATCGACACGTGAAAACAGAGGCGGAAGCGCTGATCCCCTAGTGATGGAAGCGGTGACTTGATGACTTGATGACTTGACCGCTGTGGTTTCGCTTGGGCTTCCATTGTTTCACAAAAACGGAGGAATCAACCAGCAATCATGTCTGGTTGGTGGTTGAGCCTACCCCTCTGATGATTATTCCCAATGTATGGAAACATAAAATTCCATGGTTCCAAACCACCAGCCAGATGTTCATTTATGTTCGTTTGAACAATCATGTTCGCAGCAATTCATCAAGGCCGGGATTCAACAGGTCCAAATCGATGGCCCGGCCGTTGAAAGTCAGAAAATTACATCCTCAGGATTTTCTTTAAAACAAATGCCACTCCAAAAGTTGAGAAAAAGGCCTTGGGCTGTGGATACTGGTAACAGTGACATTCTCGGACATCGCCTCCGCTTGAGTCGCCAATCGCATCGATTGTCTTCAGACGCGCCTTCCAATGCCCTTTCAATGCATCTTTGCTTTGGCTGCTGGAAAGCTGCTAGGGCTAGGGGTTGGCAGCCAAAGGTGCGGAGCTTGCCTTCTGCTTTCCAGCAGCTGCTATCTGTTGCAGGTCTCATTGGGCGTCGACAAGGGGTGGCGCCCAGCGATGTTTGTTGGCTGGGAAACCTTCGTGACTGTATAATACTATATGGGGTTTCTTAGAATGGGGGATCCGCAAAACCATGGTGTTCAATACTAAAACGCTTGAATTTTGGATAATTTGGGGCCTCAGAAAAAAGGACACCTCCATATGTATATCTACCTTAGCAGCCTTAAACTAAGAGTTGTTGGAGTTATTTGCATCTCAAAGTAACTAACATTGTGGGGCTCCATCTGGTACCGGATGGTCTCTTCAGGTTGGCCGAAGTGACCTAAAAAGCCAAACGCATCCATGGGCCGATGGGTGGTCTGGTTGACCACCAAACAAAATCACCTATCAAGATGATCACTATGGTTTGCTGACATTATGCACTCCCTGCTGCAGAGGGATGTACTGTGGCTGTTGGATCTCATTTTTCATGTAGGATATAGCAAAACTAATAACAATATATACTGGTTGGTGGTTGAGCCTACCCCTCTGAAAAATGATGTTCGTCAGTTGGGATGATGACATTCCCAATAACTATATGGAAAGTCATAAAATTACATGGTTCCAAACCACCAACTAGTGATTTCATGGCAGAGTATTATTGTGGTTTTCTCACCATGGTGGTTTGGTTGGCTGACCACTATGATCATAGCTGACCTTAAATATGCCAAAGAAACGATTCCTGAGATATACAAATATGCTCAAACATGAAAACGACCTATTGAAGAAAAATAATGATATGGGTTTGTCAGCCAAAAATTGGGCACCCTGAAAGTGTTCCCTCTTAAATTTGGCATGGCGGGGTAAATTTCATGTTTGGACAAATTCAGATGGTGTTCTAGATCTGGGAGATAGATCTCGGCAAATAGCAGAAATATAAAATGAACTTTGTGAAAATCTAACATCATCTAACACCTTAACTTTGGAATGATTAGATGATGCTAAGTTAATACTATCAATTTATATCCCCAAAGCGTCTCATTTGGGATGATTCTTCTTGCGACCTATGATGAAGGCAATTAATTCGCCAAGATCATCCCTCATTTGCCCCTATGACAATACCATATTGCCGACAGTGCAATTTGTGTAATGTATGAGAACTCCCATCAAAATTGTCCCTAATCTGGTATGAATACCCTCATGTGTGGTGTTGGTTAAATCCGCCTTCATATCCATATTTCATTGGACATACGATATATGATATATCATGATATATCTTTCTTCATTATCAAAATGGTTAAACCATTCGAATTTTACATTTGTGGATAATCATTTAATCTGGGTAAATTAGAATAATTCACTAACCTGAATTAAGGCCTGATTTCCCTTATTGACCATGAATCAAGTGAGGTCGTAGTGAGGTCGTTATAATTTACCCAGATTTAATTACCGTGCCATCCACCGTGCAGCTTTTTTCACAACCCAGCCGAGGGTCGGAGAGCAACTGCAGGGAGAGGGGCCATTGCTTGGCATTGCCGCAAGCAGTGATCAAACTGCTGCGGGCCCATTGCAGCCTGCGCAAGGATGGGTTTCTGAAAAAAGGTGGTGTCCCCCCAATTAAAAAAACTGGTTTATAAACCATAGATAACCATAGTAGATATGGAGGAATCCTGAAATAGGGGAAAATCAGATGTTCCATTTTCTAACAAACCAATTTTGGGAATTACCACCATTTATGGAAACCCCAATATATCTACCACACATAACCCGACAGTTCTTGGAGTTATGTTCACGCACCAGCTGAACGCGCTTCCGAACGATTCCGCACCACCGATTTCGGTGGGATCTACCGCTGGTGGTGGTTTTTCGCCTACCCCTCTGAAAAATGATGGGATTATATAATGGGATTATAATGGGATAATCATCAATAAAGGATTATATAATAATAGTGGTTATAATACCATTGCATATCTGGTTGGTGATTTTTCGCCTACCCCTCTGAAAAATGATGGGATTATATAATGGGATTATAATGGGATAATCATCAATAAAGGATTATATAATAATAGTGGTTATAATACCATTGCATATCTGGTTGGTGGTTTTTCGCCTACCCCTCTGAAAAATGATGGGATTATATAATGGGATTATAATGGGATAATCATCAATAAAGGATTATATAATAATAGTGGTTATAATACCATTGCATATCTGGTTGGTGGTTTTTCGCCTACCCCTCTGAAAAATGATGGAGTGAAAGTCAGTTGGGATGATGACATTCCCAACTGAATGGAAAGCCGTAAAATTCCATGGTTCCAGTCACCACCAACCAAATATGCTACACTACGTTCTAATCCATACCCGAATAGCAATCGGGTATGGATTAGAACTAACAACAGTGGACGCTGGATGGGTTCAGATTCGTGGCAGCATCATTTTTTGGATACATCCATATGTGATTGCCATTTGCATGTGCGAATCAGTTAAATCAACTATAAAAACATCATTTTGGGTTGGTTGAATCAGTGCAATCTCCCATGCCAGTGAAGCCTCCTGGAAGTTGGTCCCATCTCAACTAGTTCTATAAACAATATACATAATATATATATATATACACATATATCCTGTCGTGGTTGCGGTTCCGGGCAAAGCCCAGGCATTTGCCGTATATATATATATGTATATATATATAATTATATATATACATATTTAAATATGTATAACTTATATAACTGAAACCCACAATTAACCTTCCACTTTCTGGGTCAAAACCTTCAAAACAAGGGTCATTTAGGTTCCAGGTATGATTTCAATTCTTTTTTATATCCATTACAACCGCTGCTTCAACCAGGAATTTCGAGCATTCACCGACACAAGCTTGACAATGTACCTAGTGAAATCCGCAAACGCTAAGGCGTCACTGATGATGATGAGGATGAGGATGATGATGATGATGATGATGATGATGATGACGATGACGATAACGATGAACTCTAGTTCATTACAAGCACTACTAAATCCCATTCAATCACCAGAAGGCAAATTCAACTCATCAACTGAACCTACTCAAGTACTAAAAAAGAATGTCAACAATCAAGAACAATCAACAACCATGAAAATCATGACATGGAAAATCCACCTATGCTTAATCCCATTTAACCACTGTCCAACGCCCCGCTGTGCTTCCCCGGGCCCCGTCTCGTCCCGTCGTTCTCCGCCTCTCCTGGCGCGGCTCCGCCCGCTGCAGCTCCGCAAAGATCTGCAGCGCCTCGGCCCAACGCTGCGCTTTGCTCAGACGGCTGAAGCGCTGCGCCAGCGTGGGCAGCATCGCTGCCTGGGAAGGGACGAGCAAATGTACAAAAACCAGGGAAAATATGGGGAAAATGGGAGAAACCTGCAAGAACATCATTGAAAAACATGTGGATTCAGCAAACATTGGGTTTGAACATCATGGTTTAGGTCCTATGCTAAAACACCAAAAGTTGGTGAGTGCGGGGTAACCAGCAAGCAACAAATTGTATGCGAAAACATGTCAAACTCACGGTGGTGAGTTGGGCCGACACAAGGGTTGACCAAAACTCCTCTGAAACACATCTCCATATTCCCCCATTGAATCCTCATCCAACAATACTGGCTAATCTTAGGCACTATAGATCTATAGTATATAATCATACAACATACTGGCAAATAAGCGATTTAATAAAGCTTCACACATGTGGATAAACCATAAACAACTCGCAAATAAGGATTTATCCATTACAAAAACAATAGTTCTTAGCTGGTTAGTCTGATTTCCCGTCAACATGAGCAACCCCAAATAACCATAAATAACCCACCAACCTACCAAACAAATCTTGATCCCTAAGAGGAACGTGATATCATCGAGTTCCACCCGAACGAAAGAAACAGAACAAAGTTCCTCGGGGAGATTCGGCGCATGACGGGCTAAGACCCACCATGCTCAGATATCCATGGAATTTATCTAATTGCTAGATACTGAATTTTATGATTTTGTCTACTGAGGATAGCTGGCTACTTCCTTGTTTCTTTAATGATGTTTTTGTGGGAGAATGGGGATAGAATGCTTCTATCCCAGTTGTGTCACGTGTTGTTTCCTTGCAACTTCAAAGACAAGGGGTTTACTGCCATTTGTTTGTTTTGGCCTCATCTCACCTTGGAACCCCATGTGAAAAACCATAGTATGGTAGTGTTGCTCGCATCAAGAGCACCTTTGATGCTCCGTTATGTCCTCAACATTCCCCAATCTCCACAAGCCCACTGGGTAAATCAGTTGAAACCCGGTCCCACAAGCAGCACCTTCCCAAGACGTTTGCTTCAAACTCGCACCCACCATGGCAACACAATGACAACAAGAGTGAGTGTTTCGTCTGGCAAGTGGCCAAGCCACCGACTGCGGGGAGTTTCGATGTTGATTTGGTCTGGCTCTAAATGGTTTTCCCTGTCTAATCTTAGAGTCCCTCTGAGATCAAGTTATTTTCAAGTAAGTTGCGCCAAACCAAAGATTGACTGTCTCAGAGGTAAAGGTTTATTCAGTTATTCATGTTTATTCCTATATCTCATTCGCCACAAAATCACCCATAAACAGCTGCCTGTGCTCCATCCGGTCTGCGGCTGAGATGTTTTTTTCGCGGATTTCAACATCGATGATCAACATGCCATTTCTATATGAATTCCAATGATGGAAGCAAAGAAAAATGATCAACAGATCACCCATCTCTAAAGAACGATTGTAAAGAGTTACTGAAATATATTGGTTAACATTAACTAGCATCTATTAACTATAGACTTACATATATATATATATGGGAAAATGATAATAATTCACTAACCTGGAAAGTTCGGCTATCTTGGGGGTGATTCCCCTTACCAACTATGATTAGAGTGAGGGAGAACAGTGAGGTCGTCATAATTTACCCTGATAGATAGATAGATGTATATATATATATATGTATATATATATATCACCCATATGCGAACCATGGTGCTGGAATATGAATCCCAACATTTACCACCAAAATGACCCAGTTTTGTAGCTAAATATTCCAGCACCATGGTTCGCATATGGTTCATATATCCATGACATTAACCCCAGGAGTTCTCCAACCACCTGGCAGCACCACGAAATGCGACCAGCTACAGCTCGAATTCAATGAACATGTGCGATATACCTCCAGTAAACTAACATAGCGAACTGGAAAATCACCATCTTTAATGGGTAATTCAACTATTTCTATGGCTAATCACCATCTTTCATGTGGTATATATATTTTTTTTTCCCCGCCAACTTAATAGTGATGTACCTGTATAAAAGGAACATGTAGCATTTATTAATAGGAAACAATTTGTATATTATTGATATTGATATACCTCTGGTAAACTAACATAGCTATGGAAAATCACCATTTTATTGAATTGGGTAAATCAAGGACAAATGGCCAGTTTCAATAGTGTTGGTTTACCAGAGGGTAATTGGTTTCTGTTTCAGCGCGAGAATTGGATCTGAACCACAACAAAAACTGCTTTAAGGACTTGTTTTCAAAGCTCCAGCACTGAAATCTAGTTGAAACCAGCAACTGCGTCATCTTAATTAACAAGTTCATGACTTATCAGTGAATATCAACTATATATATATATATTAATATATCCCCATACATTTGATGGTTAAAAATGATTATCCACTGGTAAACGTTACAAAAAACTATGGAAAATCACCATTTTTCATAGGTAAATCCACTATATAAATGAGCCATTTTATAGTTGATTTTCCCATTAAACATGGTGATAATCCACTATAAAGGAGCCATTTTCAATAGCTTTTTCTTAACGTTTACCAGAGCGTTAGCACCCCGAAAAACAACGCTGCGAATACTCATCCCCATGACATCAACCAGCGGAAAGCGCCGATGGTTTTCTCAGCCTAACACGTTCGACCCATACGGCACCGTAGCTCTCATTAGGGCAGGTAGAGGTAACCTGCCGGATCTAAGTGAGCAACTGTCCAACGTTGTGAAACGTTGGTGGATGATTGTTTGGGCTATACTTTGGTTAACCTATGTGAAAGTAGATCGGAATCAGAAACAAAATCAATTGTTGATTTAGGATTCGACAACATTGTGATTGATATCAACTGGAAAGTTGTGGAATCATCAAAAATATCATAATCCATCGATATCGTAATCATTAATAATGTAAGATCAAAGTTTAATGTTTATGAATTTATCAATTAGTAGATATATTGTTTGCCGAATATGATTCATCAAACATGTCGCAATATGGTTGATACACATTGGCTGATTGAAATTGTTTTCTTGTTTTTCGAGTTTTTTTTTGTCATACTACCCTAAAAATAGAGGACTTATCACTATCCGTTCCGGGAATTCCAATAAACAAGCCAGTATCACGGGGCTAGATCGTTATACCAATAGAAGCGCTTAAATATCAGAGGAACATGGTGCCATTTGGGGATGGTTCCCACCATGATGAGCTTTTTTCCCGTGACGATAAACAATATAGACGATTTATCCACATGAAACTCGAACTTCTTGATCAAATGAGATGGTAAACCATAGTTACATAATTGTTTGAATAAGATATGTGCTTATTGAAGCTATGGTGTAACTAATCAATAGTTGACACTATGGCAGTTCTTGATCAAGCACAATAGTTACACCATAGTTTCAATAATTGCTGGCCCCCAGGTCGGTGATTCCCTCAATTTCATTTCCGTAAACATGAAGGGCTCCGTCACCGCCCAAAAAAAAACACGTCTTAAAAGTCCTGAATATAATGAAGCATGGCACACATGACTGGAATCTGTGGGCTGTTGACTGTGAAGGATAAACTATTGATGACATCTTAACCATATGATACAGTACATTGTCTTAATAGGTGGCTATATGTGGTTATGATTTGGGGTAGAAATCTTATGAGCGATTATATATCTAAATCTCTGTTTTCTATCATTGGGAAACTATTGAAATATGCCAAAACATCTGCCCCACTCAGAGAAAGCAAATGACTCCTTCGAAGGTAGGCAGCTGAGGCAGTTGATACCTTCTGGACATCTAAGATGGCAACAAAAATATAATTCATTACATATTATAGATGATATTTCCATATATCTTACATAGATATATTTCCTTATATTTGTACTTCACTGCATAACAAAAAAATAGTGTTTGCTATTGAACAAGAAGTTGAGGAGCCAGCCAGGCTAGTCAGTATCTCCATTGTCTATTCATCGTACCCAGGATTCAAGACAGTGCCATGCTTCGCGATATGGTGGTTTCCATGAATTGGGAAATCCCCTTTATCGCTGGATGGTTTATTTCATGGAAAATCCCATCTATAAATGGATGAGAACTAGGGGTACCCCCATTTTAGGAAACCTCCATACAGTGCCGAGTGAAAACGTGGGCGTTCAATCAAGAAGCAGGCCTCTTTTGGTTGTCTGTTCCGCACTATGGTCTATGGAGTCTATTGTAGATGAATATTGGTTGCGCTTTGGCATCCGAAAATTGACGCTGAGACGACAAGTCTGACACACATGTTTTTTTCTCGTGAAGTCGTGTGTAATTGGTGAACCCTCCGGCAATCAAGCATGACAATGGAATATCCTCCATTTATATACATATATATATATATTTATATCGTTGTTTTTCCATAAACACCTACATTCATTAAAAAATACAAAAACATGTAATGTTTACCCTCAAGGTATGTCGGGTCATACTCAAAGCTACTGGCTGGTGAGTAGTTGCCATTGAATAGCCATTGCCACCATTGATGAAAAACGACCGGATAAATTAGAATAGTTCACTGACCTAAATTCTCATATCATAATACTCCACTCGCCTAAATGAATAACCATGATTGTATTATACATGATATAACAATTCAATTCAATCATTGTTATAACATATTCAGTTCATATCATAACAATGATTAAATTATCATACAACCATTTGGGGAGATGATTCCCTTGACCAACCTTCATTCCACTGACATCACCAGAATGATGAGGAGGACCAGGTACGAACTATGTCAGTATATCTACCATCAAGGATGTCAAAATCACCTAATGATATGAACCTTAAGGTAGCTATATAAGATTATATTTTGTTGTCCATCCTCCATTGATCAACCAAGTGTTCAAGTATTAATTTCTAAGCTGTAGCTATTTATATCTACCATTTGGCGATTTCCCGTTCGGTTGATTCTCAACTTTTGGCCCTTCAGTACGCAATTTGGAATCCCCAAATCCTTCCATTGAGACAGCCCAGACCACCATCATTCATGGATTGCATCGCTATGGCTTTGGCGCGTTCATCCGGTTTTGGAAAATCCGGTTGGTGTCCACTCCTCTGTTCGTAGATGGGTCATCCTATATCATCATCCCATACTTCATTTTCAATAGCTACTTGTATATGTTAGTTTACCAGAGGGTAACATGTTCCATTTTCATTTAGTTAAATGCCAGTTAACATGGTTACCCTCTGTAAATGGTAAATTAACCATGGTAATGGTAACATAACCATAGTAACATGTTTCATTTCGTTGGGTTTACCATCACTTTAATTATGTGTCATTTCTCTCTCATCTCGTCTCGCGCTGAAAATTTCCAAGTTGATCATGGCACGCAAAGTCACGGACTGAACACAAGGATTTCAAGGATTGACCGGGCACGAGATTGAATCTGAATCTCCCACCCTAAACCCAGAAATGGTGTTTTCTTAACTGTTGCAAGAAGGTTTGTTTTTTACAGCATCTCTCAAGCCAAGTCTGGAAAGCTAGTGTGACATGACAGGCTACTATTTATCTTCAGAAGATGGTCGTCCTGTGCGACATCAACATGAGTGAATGATAGTGAATGAGTTCCAACTGTGGCATGTCTTCATTGCTTGGTGAACTGGAACACTCCCAGAGACGACTCGCTACTGATGGGTATCATGAGTTGAAATGGGAACAGAGTATTTCTTAAGCGAAAGAAATTGTCAATGGTTCTGGAATCAAATTATACATCTTATGAATCTTATCTCTTAAAAATCAGGAATGCATGGGATGTTAGATTCTGATACACCATATAATTCTTGCAGTGAGTAACGATATTGCCGCCAGTGGCCAGCCAATGACTGTTCGAACGTTCCCAGTTTTCGTAAAAAGTTCCCTTAAAGTGTCACAGAGCTTCCCAGTCAAAGCCCTGAAAAAAAAACGAAGCAGCGAGCAAGGCCCAAAATGTCCAAAAGTCATCTGGTGCTTGGCTGACCGGAATTCCAACTTAGGTAGCTTGTGGATCTCAACATATCTTGGCAATCCCAGAAAAAAATCGAATTAGGTTGTTAATGTGGGCAATAAAATATTATATGATGGTTTTTTCTAGTTATAAAACCCATCATCACCATCTAGATGGTTGTTACCACCATTATAAACCTTGATAGAATATGTATAATGTGGGTAAAACAATGTCAGAAACCACCCAGGATTGGGAATGGTAGACATACCACCTATTTATTATGGTGATAACTGGGGGATGGTTCATGAGATTGTTTTACCCACATTATCAATTTTTTTTGGGCATTGTGCGTCTGATTCTGCACAGGTTTGGTAACACGGCTCACTTTGGAAAGGCCGTCGATGTCACTGTTCATAAGCCGCTGTCGCTCATGTGTTTCTTGGCGATCTTGAAGATGAGATCCTGAGAAGTGCAACACATGAGGGGGATACAATGCACCCTTGCCTTCGGTGCTTGAATTGACATGGCCAATCTTAGATACCCTGCAAAACAAATAAATACTTAGCTCATCTTAGCTGGTTAGTAGATAATCCCATTGATACCAAAAGACTAAAGGATTAAAGTCCCATCCAAGGTTCACATATGCATCCCGTAACATTGAAACCAGTCCCTGATTCACAAGATGGTGTGTCAGGTCACCACTTTGTCGCAAACCGCGTGCGTTTTCCAAGTTGCTGGCAACTAAAAATCTCTTGGGTTTATGGCGATGAAACAACCTGGTTGGTACCAACCAGTTGAGCCACCCCTCTGAAAAATATGAAAATCAGTTGGGAGTATTTATTCCCAATATATGGAAAAACAAAAAATGTTCCAAACCACCAACCAGTAACTATAGTAGTTATAGTGAGATAAACCAGCCTAAAACCACAGGGCACCACGTGTACCCATCTGGTCAACAAATGTTTGTTTAACCAATTTGATCATGTCTCAAAGTAGCTGTATATACAGTACCATCTGGTTAAAGCTAACACAGCCATGGAAAATCACCATGTTTAAGAACGGTAAACTACCTATAAATGGACCATTTTCCATGGCTATAAATGATCCAGTACTCAGCATTCATCACAAGTCATTTTAAGGCCCACCAGCAATCATCACCAGATGGTATGTCCCCTGTTGTTCAACATGTTTTTGTTTCATGGTATCATTTCTGAACAGCTGATGTCTATGTACCAGTACCAAGTATGATCATCACCGAAAAAAATACTTTACTTCGTGTGATCCCCACCATGACATTTATACATTTTCTTACTGGCAAATCTTCTGGCATTCTATCTGACATACCTTCTGGCATTCTATCTGGCATTCTATCTGGCATATCTTCTGGCATATCTTCTGGCAATCCTTCTGGCATTCTTCCATTCTGGCATATCTTCTGGGCAATCTGACATATCGTGGCATATCCTTCTGGCATTCTCTGGCATATCTTCTGCATTCTATCTGACATATCTTCTGGCATTCTATCTGGCATATCTTCTGGCATTCTATCTGACATATCTTCTGGCATTCTATCTGGCATATCTTCTGGCTGGCATATCTTCTGGCATATCTTCTGGCATATCTTCTGACATTCTATCTGGCATATCTATTCTGGCATATGTATCTGGCATTCTGGCATCTGGCATACCTTCTGGCATACCTTCTGGCATATTATCTGGCAAATTTCTGGGATTCTATCTGGCATATCTGTGGCATTCTATCTGACATTTTATCTGCCATTCTATCTGGCATACCTTCTGGCATATCTCTCTTCTGGCAATTCTATCTGGTATATCTTCTTGGCTTATTCATATCCTGCATTTAATCTGGCATATCACATGGCATTTTATCTGGCATATCTTCTGGCATTCATCTGACATTCTATCTGGCATATCTTTCTGGCATTCTATCTGGCCGTTGAGGTCCAGCGGTGCACACTGAGCTGGGCAGGTCCCAGGTTGAGGTCCAGCGGTGCACACTGAGCCCAGGTTGGGAAGGTGCACCCGGTTGAGGTCCAGCGGTGCAGACTGAGCTGGGCAGGTCCCAGGTTTAGGTCCAGCGGTGCACACTGAGCTCGGAAGTCCCAGGTTGAGGTCCAGCGGTGCACACTGAGCTGGGAAGGTCCCAGGTTGAGGTCCAGCGGTGCACACTGAGCTGGGCAGGTCCCAGGTTGAGGTCCAGCGGTGCACACTGAGCTGGGAAGGTCCCAGGTTGAGGTCCAGCGTGCGCACTGAGCTGGGAAGGTCCCAGGTTGAGGTCCAGCGGTGCACACTGAGCTGGGAAGTTGGCAAAGAGCTTGGCGAAGAGAGTTGGCAAAGAGCTTGGCGAAGAGAGTTGGCAAGGCGGAAGTGCAGGTGGAAGTTGATGCAGACATGGTCGAGGAGAAACTGGAGGAGGAGGAGGAGGACGAGGAGGAGGAGGAGGAGGACAGCTAGCCGAGGAGGAGGAGGAGAACAACTCTGATAAAATCTAACAACCCTCACCTGGCAGGTGGGGAACAAGACTTTTGGGTTGTATCAGAGTTGTATCCCCATTTCTGCAGCTTGAAACACCCATATTTTTTGCTTCAGCAACGAAAAAATTGGGCACTCCATCTCTCAGCTAAATCACATTCTGGTTGGTGGTTTCAACCCCTCTGAAAAATATGAAAGTCAATTGGGATGATTATTCCCAATATATGGAAAAATAAAAATCATGTTCCAAACCACCAACCAGCATTTCTTCTTGCTTGAATCTAGTCAAATCATGCCAAATCCGAGAAAAAAACATGCAGCTTGAATCGCCCAGGTGATCCGTTCTTGGTATCTCTTGGGGGGGCCCATGGCTTGTTTCATGCAACGCTTCGACCGGTGGGTGCCGGTCGACCGGTCACCAAGGGACACCGCCGACGCGAAGTGGAAAATAATCGACATACATCACCTCCAAGAGGTGCTGCCACCGATGCGACAACGTTGGTTTATGGGTTACCCTCTGGTAAATTAACAGTTTGACTCTGTAAACACCCAATTTTTAGTGGAAACATAGTGGAAACTAGTCTTTCAACCCCTGTCTGCCAGGGTCTATGTTAATTTACTGGAGGGTAAATGTTGGGCCGGTTGGGTTTAAAAAAGATACTGATTATGTTGATTTATAATTGTTGGTTGTTGGTTGAAAAAAGGCTGTATGAACTGGATCTAAATTTTACAAGGAAGTTCGGATATCTTTGATTTTAGCGTGGCTTGGTGATGTTACCTCAACTATAGTCTGTTCATCCCCATAAAGCCACAAGTTTAAATACACTATTATCAATTATAAACCAGCATGACTATGGGGGCACCACCTTGCATGGAGCATATGGGACATAGGTAAAGTATAGGGGAAAACCGCGGTGGACGGAACATATGGGCCATATGGGCCATATGGGCCATATGGGTCTTAACTTAACTACTCAAAATATCATAATTGCACTTTCAGGTACCTTTTTTCATTGGAGGTATTAATTACCATATTTCAGGTACCTATGAAAAAGCTAGATGTAAGGGAACATGTCACAGCTAAAACTAGGATATCATTGGCACTTATTTCTTACATCTACCAACACAGCTGGGTCACAGTTGGGTCACGTCGTTGGGTCATGGGGCATCCAGGGACATCCAGGGACATACCTCGACTCCATCGACTCCATGTCACTAGATTAACTGTATGGGGGTGGTGATGAAATAACTACTAGATTAACTACAGATGGGTCTTAATTCCAATCATTCCAAAAAAAACAATCACAATCCCATGAAATCATTTTTTAAATCCCATCATTGATGATATTCGCAAGAAAAAGATGGGAACTTCAGTATTTATTGGGAGATTCGATGTTTATCCGACAAAAAGGGAAACCCAGCTTCTCAAGACACAAAACACGCCATCAACGAAGTAACGAAGCCCTCGCCTGCAAAGCAGTGGCCAAGTCGGGAATTTTCGCACCAGCTAACCTCGACTGTGATGGCAAGCTGTGCTGCTATGGACCTAAAAATTCACCTTTCGCGAAAGGGAGCTCAGTGGGAAGTTTAAAGTATTACGGTCTTACGCATTGACCATCTGGTTATGACTAACACAGCCATGGAAAATCACCATGTTTAAGAGCGGTAAACCATCTATAAATGAGCCATCTATACCATGGCTAAATAAACAAAGGGTAAAGTCACAGAAATTACAGAAATGACAGCTGTTTCAAGTCTTACAACTCCACCAAAATAGGAGAAAGCAGCGAAGGAAGGAATGGCAGCTACCACTGAATTGGTCTGAGTAAACCATCGGTTGATTCAAACGGAGAGTACCATTAAGAAATGAAATTGTCAAACGGGACCTGTAAGTCAAAGATAATAAACCAATGAGAAAGAAGGTTACCATACCACAATACAGTTTTAATATATAACATAAAATACTAACATATAATTATAATATTATATATATATATACAATAATAAAATATAATATATTGCAATATACAAAAATATAGAAAAATACAAAAATAATATAATATAATATAATATAATATAACATAATATAATATCACCCAATAATAGGCAATCAAGTTACAGTAATCTCTACCATTCAAGCAACAGTACCCGAGTACCACCATGTTTTTATGTTCGTTTGTTCGCTCATCTTTCGGGGGCATCTGGCTGTTGGAACCCAACTTTTGACAGAGAAATTTCTATAGAAATTGGGTTGATGGAAACTGTTGGTTCTGCTTTGACACATTATTTTGACACATTAGTTCTATTTCTATAGAACTTATCACTTACTGGTGCTAAACGTAGGGAATGGATGGGTTGCTGGGGGGTTTCTGGGATTATTATTGATAGTTAGCCAGTCGATCATTCCCAAAAATTCCCTACGTTTAGCACAAGTAGGATCATGGTTCCACCAAAATAGAAATTTCTATTGATGAAAACTTTTGGTTCTATTAGATCATAATTTCATGGTGACGACTTGACACAAAAGTTTCAACAAGTTCAGCCAGGGTCAGGCACTGTTTTTGTGGATACACCAGATACGTTCCTTCTCAAACCACCTTTTTTGCCCCTTTGAATGATTTTTCACCCTGACCTTAATGCCCCTTAATACCCGTACTGGTTGAAAGCCTCAAATATACTTAAATATCTATATTGGTTGATATGTCATTTTTTGTTGGTGGTTGAAGTTACAGTTAGGCATAGTCATCGATGATGCCAAGCAGCCCAAAGAATTGAATCCAGGAACCGTATCCCGGTGATATCCCCATTGTTGATTAGATGCCCTGTTCCTTGGTGGCTAAATCAACCTATGTATCCTATGTTTGATGCGTAAAACAAGTTTTTTCCCGAGAGCGTCTGAGCGCAGGGTTCTTCCAATAGTGGGGGTCTGTAAAACATCTTCTCATCTTCACATCTCATCTTCACATCCTCTCATCTTCACATCTGCTCATCTTCACATCCTCTCATCTTCACATCCTCTCATCTTCACATCTGCTCATCTTCACCCCTTCCCATCTTCACATCTGCTCATCTTCACACCTTCCCATCTTCACATCTTCTCATCTTCACATCCTCTCATCTTCACATCTGCTCATCTTCACACCTTCCCATCTTCACATCCTCTCATCTTCACATCTGCTCATCTTCACACCTTCCCATCTTCACATCTGCTCATCTTCACACCTTCCCATCTTCACATCTTCTCATCTTCACATCTGCTCATCTTCACATCTGCTCATCTTCACACCTTCTCATCTTCACATCCTCTCATCTTTACATCTGCTCATCTTCACATCCTCTCATCTTCACATCCTCTCATCTTCACATCTGCTCATCTTCACACCTTCCCATCTTCACATCTGCTCATCTTCACACCTTCCCATCTTCACACCTTCTCATCTTCACATCTGCTCATCTTCACATCTGCTCATCTTCACACCTTCCCATCTTCACATCTGCTCATCTTCACACCTTCCAATCTTCACATCTTCTCATCTTCACATCTGCTCATCTTCACATCTGCTCATCTTCACATCTGCTCATTCATCTTCACACCTTCCCATCTTCACATCTGCTCATCTTCACACCTTCCCATCTTCACACCTTCTCATCTTCACATCTGCTCATCTTCACATCTGCTCATCTTCACATCTGCTCATCTTCACATCTGCTCATCTTCACATCTTCTCATCTTCACACCTGCTCACCTTCTCTCTCACGCCTTCTTTTTATTTTTCTCTCTGAAGGCCGAGGGTGGTGCAGGCGGCGAGTCACGAAACGTCAACCCTTTCGCACGAAATGAGGGTCGATCGGCAAAAACTGAGGTAAAATTGCGATTTTACTTGCCCCGGAGCAACCCTTTCGCACGAAATGAGAGTCGATCGGCAAAAACTGCGGTAAAATTGCGATTTGACTTGTGCCGGAGCAACCCTTTCGCACGAAATGAGGGTCGATCGGCAAAAACTGAGGTAAAATTGTGATTTGACTTGCCCTGGAGCAACCCTTTCGCACGAAATGAGGGTCGATCGGCAAAAACTGAGGTAAAATTGCGATTTTACTTGCCCCGGAGCAACCCTTTCGCACGAAATGAAGGTCGATCGGCAAAAACTGAGGTAAAATTGCGATTTTACTTGCCCCGGAGCAACCCTTTCGCACGAAATGAAGGTCGATCGGCAAAAACTGAGGTAAAATTGCGATTTTACTTGCCCCGGAGCAACCCTTTCGCACGAAATGAGGGTCGATCGGCAAAAACGGAGGTAAAATTGCGATTTTACTTGTGCCGGAGCAACCCTTTCGCACGAAATGAGGGGCGATCGGTAGAAACTGAGGTAAAATTGCGATTTTTCCTGTGCCGGAGCAACCCTTTCGTCTGTGTGTAAAAGCGTCTGTGTGTAAAAGCGTCTGTGTGTAAAAGCTTCTGTGTGTAAAAGCGTCTCTGTGTGTAAAAGTCTCTGTGTGTAAAAGCGTCTGTGTGTAAAAGCGTCTGTGTGTAAAAGTGTTTGTGTGTAAAAGTGATTGTGTAAAAGCGTTTGTGTGTAAAAGCCTCTGTGTGTAAATGTGTTTGTGTGTCAAAGCGTCTGTGTGTCAAAGCGTCTGTGTGTAAAAAGCGTCTGTGTGTAAAAGCGTCTGTGTGTAAATGTGTTTGTGTGTCAAAGCGTCTGTGTGTAAAAAGTGTCTGTGTGTAAAAAGCGTCTGTGTGTAAAAGTGTCTGTGTGTAAAGGCGTCTGTGTGTAAAAGGGTCTGTGGGTAAAAGCGTCTGTGTGTAAAAGCGTTTGTGTGTAAAAGCGTCTGTGTGTAAAAGTGTTTGTATGTAAAAGGTAAAATTGCGATTTTTCCTGTGCCGGAGCAACCCTTTCGTCTGTGTGTAAAAGCGTCTGTGTGTAAAAGCGTCTGTGTGTAAAAGCTTCTGTGTGTAAAAGCGTCTCTGTGTGTAAAAGTCTCTGTGTGTAAAAGCGTCTGTGTGTAAAAGCGTCTGTGTGTCAAAGCGTCTGTGTGTAAAAGCGTCTGTGTGTAAAAGTGTCTGTGTGTAAAAGTGTTTCTGCGTAAAAGTCTTTGTATGTAAAACCGTCTGTGTGTAAAAGTGTTTGTGTGTAGAAGCTTCTGTGTAAAAGCGTCTGCGTGTAAAAGCGCCTGTGTGTAAAAGTGTTTGTGTGTAACAGTGTTTCTGTGTAAAAGTGCCTGTGTGTAAAAGCGTCTATGTGTAAAAGCTTCTGTGTGTACAAGCGTTTGTGTGTAAAAGCAGCTCCTGTGTGTAAAAGGGTCTGTGTGTAAAAGTGTCTGTGTGTAAACGTGTCTGTGTGTAAAAGTGTCTGTGTAGAAGCGTCTGTGTGTAAAAGCTTCTGTATGTAAAAGCTTCTGTCTGTAAAAGCTTCTGTCTGTATTCTGTAAAAGCTTCTGTATGTAAAAGCTTCTGTCTGTAAAAGCTTCTGTCTGTAAAAGCTTGTGTGGGTAAAAGCTTTGTGTGTAAAAGCGTCTGTGTAAAAGCGTCTGTGTGTAAAAGTGTTTGCGATGCAAACTATTGTCTTGCACTTCTCACTATTTTGTCTTGATACTCCTCTTCTCGACTGCCTATAACACAGCTTTCATATACCGTTTCTAAAATTGCATCTCCATACTAACAAGAGAAGACCCTGCTCCTCTACGCTCTCGGGCCATCCGTCGTCTAGTTTTATTGGATAAATCCAACTGTTACTTGGTGCTTCACCCCCATCGTAAGCTTTTTATTCAAGCCACGTTTGCGCGATTCCTGGGGTGAACCACCACTAAGTGTGGTTTTTAGGAGCCAGCGACTATATTCCGCAATTGTTGATGGTGAAGGACTAGATTTGGTCATTGAAACCCACTTAATTAATCAGCTAATCAACTTGATCGAACATTTTCTATTGGGATGTATTCTCAGAGTTCCGAAACAAACAACAATATCGCACTAACTCTGAAAGTTAAAACAGAAAAGATCTAGTAACAAAATATGAAAGTTACTAAACAAAAAACATAGGATCCATATATGCTATGGTGACATTTACCATGAATATACCCCATTTATGTTAGCATATATACCAGCACCATGGATCCGATGGGTTACTAACCACTATTAAATCACTATTAACCACTATATAACCACTGTTCGCCATGATTAAGCATTATTGAATCACTATAATTACTATATATTACTATATCAATGGGCTATTCCCCATGATTAACTATATTAACCAGTATATAACCACTATATAACCATTATATAACCATTATAAAACCATTATTGAATCACCAGGAGAACAACTGTTATATACTATATTAACAATGGATAAAACAGAATAGTGATTATGGTGATTTGTTCACCACTATATTAACCACTATTATTGAATCACCAGAGTATTAACCATTATTAACCATTATTAACCATCATTAACCATTATTAACCACCATTACCCCATACATTTCACCAATGTTCCAAACCACCAACCAGTTTTTTGTATCCGAATCGTCAAAACTATTAACCACTATTATTATATCACCATTAACAGTATGAACCACCATTATTAAACATCATTATTAAATCACTATTAACCACTATTAACCATTATATAACCACCATTATTAAATCACCAGGTGAACCAAAAAAACACAGCTGTTGCATTTTTGTCCAAGGCACAGGCCAGCGAGAACTCGAGACCTGGAGGAATTCTCCTGCAGGACCTGCACATGATGTTTTAGGAACGCAGAGACCATAGGAAAACCATGTGAAAACCATAGGAAAATGAAGGTTTTAACGGGAAAACCATAGGAAAACCAAAGGAAAATGAAGGTTTTAATGGGAAAACCATAGGAAAACCAAAGGAAAATGAAGGTTTTAATGGGAAAACCATGGGAAAATTAAAACCATAGGAAAATGAAGGTTTTAATGGGAAAACCCATAGGAAAACCATAGGAAAATGAAGGTCTTAATGGAAAACCCATAGGAAAACCATAGGAAAATGAAGGTCTTAATGGGAAAACCATAGGAATACCATAGGAAAACCATAGGAAAACCATAGGAAAATGGAGGTTTACCCTCTTGTAAACGTTTACAAAGCTATTGAAAAATGGCCATAGATAATTATTAAAGACATATATGCAGTACCATGGTATCATGCATGTATAACTGGTTGGTTGATTAATAAAACATGTTCCAAAACACCAAACAGATAATAATGTATGATATAGAAATACCAGGCTATTATATAAATTATTATCATTATACATTTAGGTATACATATTATAGTCATATTGTAATAGTGATTTAATCATGTATTTTGTCTAGAAATTTTGATTTAAGCTTAAACATTTTAGGCAAATGCATATCCTGTTCTTTCTCTGTTTCAAAAGTTTGAAGGTTTTAAGACGAACAAGTTAGGATTTTAGCAGCTATTAACCCTGAAAACATACAGAGTTAGGCAGCTTTAAAGTCACCAGGAAAAACAAATGGGGAGTACAATAATCCGGTAAATCTTAGCAATGGTGGGTGAACCAGCTCATCTGGGAAGTCCTATGAACGAAAACAGAGAAATTCGATGCCACGAGTTCCGAATCAACCATGGCAATGGAGAATTCACCATAATAAAACCTGATTTTCCCATTAACATCTGGTTATGACTAACATAGCCATGGAAAATCCCCACCATAAAGTACTGGGAAAATCATTTAATTCTATGTGCCATGGCTTCCAGGCCTATGTTAATCATAACCAGATGGTAAGAATCATGGCATTCTGTGTGGGGAATTTCCCATTGCCAGGTTTAAGATTCCCGTTTCGGGTTGTCGTGAATCAGCCTCTCACATCTCCCAGATTTCCCAGCATCCCGTGAAAGCATGGATTCCCCTATAAAATAATGATTAATGATGATTGATGGTTATGGTTGAACCATGATTCACAATTGTTAATAATAATTAAAAATGGAGATTTATGATGATTAATGATGATTAATAGGGGATCCTCAAAATGCTTGGTTTATTTCATGGAACATCTTATTCTGATGGATGATTTAGGGGTAACCCCATATCAGGAAACCAAAACTATGAAAAAGACACGGCCATCCACATATGGTGTGTTTATCTCTACGTGTGGGTCATTTGTGCGAAACATATCATAGATGGGTGATCCGAAAAACTACAATTTACATAGTGAGTGCACCTTCCCAGAGTAGAATCTCCTGGACATGAAACATGCACTGCAGTTACCACATCTGGGTTTACCACATCAATGCGTCTGTGTGTAATTTTGTGGAATTGATCAGATCCTCGATGTTGCTGGTTGATACCTCAAGTGTTGTTGGCGTATATCTACATACCGCAAAATATCCAAAGTAGGTAATATCCTCACCAGAGCCTCATGTGTATAGCTGGATACATCTGAGGTACTTCACACCTTTCCGTATAATGAAGCTATGAGTCCTCCATTCTGGTTGACTTCCTGTCTGTTAGCCAATATCATGCCAACATTGTATCCCTAGTCTCCAATGTTCCCATCATTGATGGCTCAACGATGGTCTGGCTTATAGTTGAAGCACCGCTTTTATAAACAATAAGCCACCATCTAGGTGCAATAAGTACCATTGTTGACCAAGCACAGTTGAACATAAATAGATGGTGGTGGCTTATAAATAATGTTGTTAAACCATCATCCATTTATCTAGGTAAATTAATATCACTCACTAACCTGAAATAAGGCAATTTTGGGATGATTCCCCTTACTAACCATGATTCCAGTAAGATCGCAGTGAGGTCATTATAATTTACCCAGATTTATGTTCAATGCTCCATTTTTGAATAAACTGCTTGGTGGTTTCAGCCAGGGTGATCGGGACTCGCAATAATGGGTGATAACCCCCGAATGTTTTATCATCCTATTTGCATCAATCATGTGTATAATCATCAAACATCATGTATCCATGTATGTATATATATATATATATATATCCGCCTAAATTCCTCAAAACTCAATTGTAATGACTATAATAAACAAGAATGACCTATCATCATCTACAAAAACATCTATATCAACCATGTTTGCTAAACACTGCCAAGCACTGTGGGACCATTCCATGCAGCCTGACCTTCTTACTGACCTCGGTGTCCTCCCAACTTCGGACGGTGCTGAGAATGTCTTGAAATCTCCTGCACGGGCCGATGATCCGACGGGGTGTATCCTACAGGAGCCACAGGAATGGCTGGCCGCAAAAATATGGCTGCCAGTTATAAATTTCTAAGAAAACCCCATTTATGGAATGTATCATCATTATATAATTGCATCGAAAGAACCTATTATAAGCATTTATACTTGGTAAACGGGTGTAAACGGCCATAACTGTAGCTAGCCAATGATGACTGGCTGATTTCATGATATACCTTAGTTTATGGAAGTTAGTTCATCCCATTTCAAGAAATAGGCTACAGGGCTCTGGTGGATATGCCATGTTTTGTTTATATAAAGGCCTTTTTGACAAATGTGATTCTGAAACTCATGGATGATTGTAGTTGGTGGATAAATGGTTTATACCCATGCCTTTGAATGCCATTTTACCTACCGTAAATGCGCCATGTCCATCTTCTCGCAGCCTGGCTGGAATGAACAAACCATCAACACTGATGGGAGCTGAAAAACACTGCTTTACTAACACTAAGATTAGTCGACTTGGCGCAACTGGGGCTAACCTTTGGAGATACCAAGAAGAATACGCCCCTTTGCTTTTTCCATTAAAAAAAGTCCACTAAACCATGATGCTGAGGCCTGGGGCCGTTCGGCATTGATCCATTTGTTGCCATTTTGGCACTTCTACAGTAGCAAACTTCCCGGAAGGGTACAAGGTGGTGCCCCACTTACATATGTTTGTTGGATTTTGTTGGTTTATAAGTTCCATCAGCCATACATAAATATACACATAATATTTTATCTCTATATCTATATCTATATCTATATCTATATATCTATATATATTATACCTAAATATATACTAGCTATAAAAAAAAAAATATATATATATATATTGTACCACAAAACAAAGTTACCCTAGTTATTAAATCAATTTCGCCATGTAGATGGGCCCCGCAATGGCCCCACCTTGTTCATTCTTATCAGGATTGCTCCCAACTCCCAACAGCCCAGAGGTCAAAACAACAAGTCTCCCCAGCATTATTTACCTAGAGCGGATATCGTTTACATAGAATGTTTGCAAAAAACCTAGGGTTTCTACGATAACCTGTGGATTTACACCTAACACCGCAAAACTTCTAGAGGTTACCCTCTGGTAAACTAACATAGCTATGGAAAATCACAATGTTTAATGGGAAAACCCACTATTTCTATGGCCATTTTCAATAGCTTTTTGTATGTTTACCAGGGGTTATCGTTTACCTAACGTGTTCTGGAACAACCACGGTTAGAATGGAAACGTCAGAAACCCTTAAACATAGACCCAGCTGAGTGGCGGCTGTAAGCCACCCCAAACGACACTCGATCCATTTGATGTGCTGCCAAACCGTTCTTGTTTGTATATTCAATGGATTGGTTTAAGGAACAATCTACAGGAAACCATAGTTTTTACCATCAAATATAGGGGTTTCCTGTAAATTTTCCCATTATCCAATTCTATGATATATCCATTTCCAACTGATATTTGCAAAAACATAACGGTTCGGTCGCTAATACCTACCTTTTATAACTCGCTGTTTACCCAACTCTGCGAGCAATGTGTACTACAAAATCCGAAAGAGGACATGTTGACTAGTTTTGGGGATGATTCTCAGCAAGCAAACTCGCCACATAACTTTTAAAGATTCCTTAAAACAAGTAACCAGCTTTCACCAACATTCTGCGCGTCTCCTCTCCAAATCTTTGGCTGTCTCTTTCTGCCCCCTCTCTATTAACAAGGCTTCGATCACATCTGGCCCAGCCTTGGTGACAGAGTTGGCGACAATTTTGCGCCATTATGAATGGGATACATGGACTGTACGTGTTTATGATGCTCATCCAGCCATACGTATATATATATAAATAAATATATTATTATATATTAGTGTATATATACATATATATATAGAGATATATGTGGAGGTTTCCTCCAGTCATCATCCATTTTAGATTTTCAGATTTTCATTTTCCCATGGAAATCAACCGGGTCTCCCTGGGTCTCCCAGACCTCCGCCATGCTGCGACCACCTCATGGAAGTCGTGCGCTGCCGATGGCGGTATACAATATTCATGTGACAATGATGGGGTTATATCGTGATTATATGGTTATAATACCAATAATAGTGGTTATAAAATGCCAATCATTGGAATTTTCACATGGATATTGTGTCATACCGCCATGAGTATTATCATATGGGAATTTCATTTTGGTTGTTTGTTTTATGGGAAGGATGACATCCCATCTGGTTGGTGGTGCAGTAACCATCTTGAAAAATATGAGTTCGTCAATGGGAAGGATTATCCCATATATGAAATGGAAAATAAAAAATGCTTGAAACCACCATATTTTCCACACCTTTCCATTCGCGTCACCTCAGCTAACGGAAGTGACCCGAATAATTTGCATTATCACTTTATTGTACCCTATGAGTATAATTGTGAAAAAATACTGTATGAACTCGACTAAAACAATCCCTCCAGGTCAATGACCTCGTAAAACTAGGCTTTCTATTTTTGATGATTAGGATCTAGTATTACTTGATAGGGACGTACTTTTACTATCTTTTACTTGGACCTTGTGGGTGGCATGGTGTTTTCAACCAGTTTCGATCAATTTTTTGATTGGTTTTTGTCAGTATTTTGATGGCTCTGAGTTGTATTATGAAGTCATGTCTGGTGATTTATGATATATCATGTGTATATGATTATATGACAGCTTTACATGCGGGCAATTTTCCCCAATAATCCTGCAGGAAATAATATAAATTTCAGGATAAGTGCTTCCCTTTACCTACCAAATATCCGATTTGTGGTTTATTACTGGGTACCCCGCGCTATTTTATTATTGGGAATCCAGGGCCGGAACCACCACGAACGCATGGCATATGAATTGTCAGGGGCCCAATATTGCTAGCGTGAGCCGAGCGTGAACCGAGCGTGAACGGACCCTCTAAAGACCGACTATTACTGGCAAAAGACCTACTATTACCGTGAACCGAGCGTGAAACCTTAGGAACCATTTTTTTGAGTTTGGAAATTTACGCAAAAAAACACAACATTTTTTGAGGGAAACCGCCACGAATTTGCTTTGCAAAAGGTCCGGAATGTCAGTCTTAGTGGCTTTTCATTGCAAATTGGAAAGGCCCATTAAGGGCTGTGATCGGAAGGTGATTGAAAAAATGTTGCTTTCCAATGATGCAGCAACAGTTTCAAATGGGGTTCAAGTCAAATTCAACATTGAACCGATATAGTTTTCGGTCGTCATTTGTGTCTCTGATACCATAAAAAAATGGGGGTGCATGGGGGTGCATGGGGGTGCATGGGGGTGCAATGACGACCAATGTGGAAAAAACTTGGCGACGATGAACGTGAGGAGAAAAAGGGCTGAGCTCTATCGAACCGAGGTAAACCAAAGGTCCTCGTAAAACTTGGTCTTTAGCCAAAGACCTCGTTAAACTTGACCTTCGGACTTGCAGGGAATTGTAGTAACATATTTGCTCTATTAATTAAGGTATTGTTGCCCTCCATCATATGGTAATAGGTATCACTGCCGTGAAATAAACCGAATAAGCTGGGACGCAACCTTTATAGGCCCCCATTGGTGCATCCTTCAGTATGGTAGTTTAGTCATGCAACGTGCCCCTAGAATTGTTTCGCTGAGTTAAGTAGGGTAAAAATAAAGTGATGACCATGAGAATGCATGGCTTTAATGGCTCTTCATGATACTTTGGGATTTAGGTAGCTAGGTTTGTTTACTTCACTAGATCTGCAGTATGATTTATGGAAGCACTAATCGTAGATGTACAGGACAAATTGGTAAAAAAAATCATGGCAACATGGCATCGGATCCCACACCATCATGGTACTGTGAATGCATCGATATGATATATGATCAATGGGAGATCTCCAGGATCCTAAAATGGAGGTACGTTAGTACTATAGAAAGCCATATTTTGTGGGGATATTCCCTTACATAGCCCTTACATAGGGCTTATATATGGTAGGTACCCCCAATTTAGGTTCCTGAAATGGCCATTGATATAATAACCACCAGGTGTACCCACCGCTGGTTATTGGTGGAAATGGTTAATATGACCTTTCATTGTATTATGTAATACCCAGTTGCACCTGTGTACGTCTACATCTGTCACGGGCAGAAGCCTATCAAAATATCTGGTGAAGTTGCATCGGTGTGCCCGGTATACCCACCATTTCCCAGATATTTGCCCCAGCATTTCCCACACATTTCCAAACCAAGGATCCGAAAAGCACTCGCGAAGCAGACAACATGAACTCAAGAAAGGTGATTGAACCATCGCCTGAGCCCCGCGCAGCGAACTTTGACCAATGCATGTCATGAGAACTCCATGGGGATGGTTCCATCGCCTAGGTTTTGACACATGTTTAATGTAATGGAATTTATATAATTTTCAGAAATGATTTTACTAGTTGAACCAAAAACAATCCATGCTTGACCATTCAACAAAATCAACCAAGTCAAAAAAGATAGAGATTCCGATGGGGATGTGAAGTTGCTGATTCCATTTTGACTAGATCCACTGTTAAGTTTACCGTGATGTTTAACCATAGTAATGGTAAACACAACTGAACATGGAACATGTTTTGCATGATTATTAATCATAACTTAGTTGGGTTTGCCATGTTAATCATATATATATATTAGTTTCACATGATTGTTAACCATTACTATGGTTAATCACTATGTTTATCATCACTATGGTTACCATGATATGGTTAATCATATCATTTTACCATGTTTACCATGTAAACCCAACTGTTTTTTTACCACGAAAAATGACTTGGATGATCCACCAAATCGTGTCATAGTGATCCAGCATACTGTTCTGTTTCGGCGTAAACACCTCATCTTAAAGGATCACTTGATGATAAACAAAACAGTGAGACAAAAAAAAAACGTTTATCCACAGAGTATAAACAATGAGTTTATGTACATTTATGATCATAATAGTGGTTATAATACCAATAATAGTGGTTATATGATTATATGATGGGATTAAACAACCAGTTTATATATATATATATATATTTATGATCATTTATGTACTGTTTACTATGGAGGTTTATTGATAAAATCAAACAAACTTCCAACGACGGGAACATATATCTACTCCCTATAGATTTCCCAGTCACAGTAGTGACGGTGGCAGTTGGTGAAAACATACATTCCCGACTGAGCAAGCCCAGGTATACAAACTCAATCTCGATTGGGCTGATCATCCCAAATATATGACCAATCTTAGATATCCTTATTGTTTTCTGAGCTGGCCAATAGACATCCCCATGAAGTGAACATCAAATCTTACAAGGATTGCGCCTAATTGGAGTCAAACTGGGGCTGTCAGTCCGGAAATTAAAATATGAAAAGAACACAAAAAATAAACTATGTATTTGTTTTTTTGACTTGAAAGTGGGTTCAAAGTCCCAGTGTATCTCACACATTTACTGATTTACCTGCCTGAAAATATTCAGTGGGAATCTAAGCATTGTTTAAACCCAATGAACTATAGATATGTCTACCGTAGACCCTAGTTATTGGAGTTATGTTCACCAACTTAGCTAACTATGGGGCACCACCAAATTGTATTTGAAACATATGGATTTCCTCATTTTCCCAACTTTACTTCCCACTTTTCGGTCTGAGTCGCCGTCGGAATCCAGTTCTTGCATGAATCGATCGACGGAACGGCAGTTGTGGATACCTAGCCGGTCAGTTTCTGCGTGATGGATGATGAATGATAGTTTCAAAAGCATCTGTAAATAAAACATGATGTGGTTTTGGGGTCTGTTTCGTTCCATCTAATAATACATAACTATACCAACTATAGCTACGTATAATATGCACTATTGCTGTTAAACCGATGCCGTTCATAGGATGATTGGTGCTCCAGTTCGGACTCGCTAAGTTGGTACCATATGGTGGATGTATGGACATACCAATGGCCATTTCAGGAACCATATACCCCCAAAATATGGCCAGAAATATGGTACTAACGTACCTCCATTTTAGGATCCTCGAATTCCCATTTTAGGATACTGTACCATATAAGGCCATATTTTGCGGTGATATTCACTCACATAGGCCTTATATATGGTAGGTACCTCCATTTTAGGATCCTGAAGATCTCCCATTGATAGATGGTTATATGATGGGATTATAACATTGTATATATATATATATAAAAATAAATATATATCTTTATATTGTTGGTGGTGCAATGATCAATGATACCATGATATAACTACCATAGGTGATGGTTATGGTAAACATATACCAACAAACGGTTCTCGAGTCTCGCTGAAATCAACGTTGGTGGATGGGTTCTTCCGTAGCGTGGAAAATATTTGTTGTTTGTGGTTTATGAATCCAATACCTATGGAATCCGTAAAATCGGAATAATATGGTGGTTTCATGGTGATAAAAATTGCGGTTTATGAGGATTTATTGAGATTTATTGTTACTCTTGCTAGTTGTGTTGTGAAAAATGGTGTCGTAAACATCAAGGAACGGAATGTTTACCAGCAAACAAGGGGATTGAAATCAAAGATGATGGTAACTCTATTGGTTGGTATTTTTGTTAGGGTTTCACAGGCATCTAACCTTATCAATCAACCCTCAAAACTAGATGATATATCATTCACAAGTGATGGTGGGCAAAATGTCGTGTTCTCACACCTCGACAGTGTTGGGCGATGATCGCCCATGATTGCCCTTGGTTATGAAACAACGAGACCATAGCAGTGGCCACCACGATTATACTAAGATTATTTTCTGACTCATTTGGGTTTGTCTTCTGAAAAGGGGTACCCTCTGGTAAACGTTTACGTAGCGAACTGGAAAATCACCATGATCAATGGGTAAAACAACTATTTCGACTGGGCCATTTTCAATAGCTATGTAACAAATTACCAAAGGGTACCCCAAATCCAATCTGATTACAAACGTTTTCACTCTTCAAACGGATTCAAGTGGCCACCTCTAGGGTTCACGACATACCCAGACCATTGCGGTGGTGAAATCCCTCCCTGCGAACAGAATTCCGATATTACTGTTGGGTTTATTATAGATATATCGAACTAGTTACTATATCTTACTATGCTTTAAAAACAATTTTGGTTTATTTTGTGTGTAGGATGAAAACCCGGATTGTAGGGTTTATAGTTGGATTGCAAAGGGTTTTATTCTGGATATAAAATAATTTGCTGGGTGAACAAACCAACAAACATAACTGGGAGGCACCAATTTGTGACCATCGAAAATGGTGGTGCAATCAACAAAATATAGGAACTATGATTGAAATGTGTGTGAACCAACTGGTGATGGGTAGTATTGGATTTTCATTTACCCACGTTTGAGATTGAATCTACTATTAAGGTTTTAATCAACATAAAAGCAACAGTTGATCCATATATATATATATATGGGTTTGCCTAAAAATAAGATAGCCTGGTTAATCATTACTCTCCGCATCAAAATGCCGAAATTGTGGGTGCAGGACATTTTCACACACATCTAAGTATAGATGTTTTGATGGTGAAATCCTACTGTATCCTATGCACCCAACACAAATCCATACTGATATACTATGAATCAACCCCATTATCCACAAGTGTTGGTTCTATCCCATAATACGGCTATAAAATCCCACAAAACCCCCCCTTGAATCTGAAAAAACACGATGAAATCACCATTTATCTTGCGAAATCCTAAAGCGACCAACCAAATCCTTATCTTAATCCCTATAAATCTCTGTTGTTGCTAAATCCTATTATATCCCATTATATTGATGGTTGTAATCCCTTTTTATGATAATCCCTATCATAATCCTTATAAATCCATATTGTTGGCACATCATACTATTCATCAACGAAAATGTTTTTAGTACCTGCAAAACCATGACTTATAACATGATAATCCCGGCCGAGGTCGGTCCCTATGATTTAATCCATAACAAAATCCTACTGAAATTATAGTATGAATTCAAAATGATGGATTAAAATGGATTATTATTTCTTGTTTACTGTTATCTACAATATTGGGTTAAACACAAGTAAACAAGAAACAACTAGTCTATTATAAACCCTAAAAACAATAGTAATGTAAATACCATGACTTTAATGTTAACCACAGTAACCAGTATTAATAGTAGTAAATACCATAATGTTAGTCTGTTAGTCATAATAAAGAACTAGTATGTTACTGTATGGTATACTACAGTAGACGGTAGTTTTTTCATAATATGGTAATATTCACTAGTATTAACACAGTAACAGTATTAGTGTTACTAATCCCATGAAACACCATGAAATCCCCACTTAAATCCCAGTAAACATGGCTTTTCCCATAATTTTCCTATGGTTTTTCCATTAAAACCTCCATTTTCCTATGGTTTTCCTATGGTTTTCCCATGAAAAAAATCCACCGATTTCTCCAGGCCTTCACAGGTGCAACCGTCACAATGTCCCAAGGACCGCAGCAAGGCATGGGACAAAAGCTCGTCCCTGGCATCGTGACTCGGATCCCTGCACCGGTGTCATTTAATGGTGATTTTAATGGTGATTTAATGGGATTTAAATGGTGCTTTTATGGCTATTTAATGTGGTTTAATGGGATTTTCATGGTGATTTTTAATGCTATGGTGGTTTTTAATGGTGATTTTATGGTGATTGTTTGGGAATATTATGGGAATATAGTGGGAATATAGTGGGATTTGCCGACAACAATAGGGATCTATACAAGATGGAGCCCAACCAGTGAGATGTTTGATCAATCTACAAAACCTGGAGAGTGGAGCGATATCTATCCATCTATGTATCTATCTAAAAATCTATTTTTGAAGGAACTTTGATGGAGAACTCATCTTTCAAATATCCATTCGTCTTCATTCATCAATTTATGAATATGTCTCTCTATCTGTCTATTCACCAAGAAATAATTGTAAATCTATCTGTAGGTCTATAGATGCAACTCTATTTGGATAAAAATAAGATAGGTATATGGATGACAGAAAATAGATGGGAAGTAAGACCGGGTTAGGGTAGATATGAGGATTGGAAAATTGGTAGATAGGTGAAAAAACAAGGAAACAAACAGACAGAAACACACAATGTCAGATAGATAGGACAGATATCTCTGGATTGATTGACTGACAAGCAAGCAGGCCAAGGTATTACATACGTAGATATAGCTTATACAGGGATATGTAAAAATAGCAGGACTGACCCAGATAAACAGGAAGAGAAACACTTGAAATGATACCTTAGAACAATAATGAAAAATGGATATAAATCAAACAAAAACCAACAGAATTTTCAAAAAACAACTAAGACTCTGTGGGAAACGTCCGTGGAGTCAAGAAAAAAACGTTGAAACACTAAAAGGATCTACTTCCCTCCAGTCTTCAGGTGTAGGCCGCAGGAAGTCACATCTACAACCTCTGATAATTCTGTTTTTTTTTTTACGGGTGTCACTTTGGTGTTCGTTTTGTCATGTACTGCCAGATATGGGGCCCCCAACGCTTCTGGATTTTCTCGAATATGGTTTTAATATGTTTTAATCCTCTGGTTTTTCCCTACGGTAGACAGCCACAGTGAACCGCTCGGAGTGATCTCAAGATCTGATAGAGTAAAGTAGAACAGAGTAGAGCAGAGCAGAATAGAGTAGAGCAAAGTAAAGCAGAGGGAATAGTTTTCGATTAAGCAGGACCATTCTGTGGAACATCATCCTTTCACAAGTCTCCTCTTCACGTTCTCTCGTTTGAAGAACTCTACTTGAACACCTAGGACCAGGGTCTATCACGTGCTCATTTCCAGAACCGGAATCAAGCAGGTCGATAAGCACTGGAACTGGATCATGTGAAATGACAAAGCTGCCATCCTCTTGGAACGAAAGCCATCGCGGAAGTGCCAGACGCAACGCAACGCAACGGCATCATCCCCTCTGACATGTTCAGTTGAGATGGGACCGCAATCTGCGATCAAATGCTCTGTGCCCTGATCGAAAACTAACGCAATAACTGTTTTGCAGTAGTCTTTAAAGCACTTTCCAGTTTCCAGTAGTGAATACTGTGAAGCAACGCAGCAGCTTTGTCCACAGTTCCAGCTCCTTATACTGGTTGGGATAGGCCGAGGTGCTTGGCGCAGCGGCATCATGGGAACCTCCAGAGGTCCGCCAGGTTTTGGCCCTTTGCATCGCGGTCTATAGTTCTGCAGTGTGTCCAGCGGTCCTCACTTGATCTGCAAATCATGCAACCACCACTTAGAGGAAACCCTGGAAGTTGGAGTTGATGGTTTGTCCGCTTGTTATGAATCCACAACTGGTATAGATATCATGTTATTCTATAACCAACTAACATTGAAGTATATCAGGATCAGGTTATAAAATATAATAAACATTAAGGTTGGTTGACATGCGGAAGTTCAATAAAATATATCATGTTATGAAATATGATAAAACATTGGTTGGTTGAATTGATGGTTTGTCAGCTGATTAAAAGCAAAACTTGTATAGAATTGGCTTTATTATATCTGATCTATTTGCCCGGTACAACTTGTGTAGCCGGTGGTTGCAGAAACTGCTTGATTGCCACAATGGTTGAATATGGGTTTTATGTGAGATTCAGCACCCCCATTGTATGGTCCCAAATGGTTCAATATAGTTTTAAATGAATGGAGAAAAATAACAATTCGATCACCATCTTTACTAGATAAATCACTTATTACTTATTAATGTCAACCCTGGATTAATAAACCCCTAGGCTGTTTCATTGGGAGGGTACCATATAAGTATCATATTTCTGCACAATTTACAATAATTCGCACCTCGACACCTCGTCGTTAATTCGTATGTGCGATGTTTCACCTCGCCTCGTTAATTCTACTTTGGGGAATTACTGGGCTCGTTCCTTTACCTAACTAACACATCACGGTGGTGCTCTTTCAAAAATAATACTTTTCAGGGGCTGAAAAGTGTGTTCTGGTTGGTTGGTCGCAGTTGCAATGCTTCTATCAGGTCCCGAGGGGAAAAGACTTTTCAGCCTGTGAAAAGTTGTTTTTCACATATTTCTTCGGCCACAGCATGTGGCTGAGGGCTAGGGAGCATTGCACTAGCGTGCCATGGCTTTGCGAGTGCTGGTGCAGTCACACTTGGGAGTGCTTTAAGTCCACTTCTACCCCCTTTGGGGATGTTCCCTGTGGACACTCCCATGACCATCCCATGGCCATCCCAAGTGTGACTGCACCATCACTCGCAAAGCCATGGCGCATTGAGCCACCCTAACCCTCAGCTAAATGCTGTGGGGCCACAGCAACATGTCTGAATGTGAGAAAAATCTTTTCGCAGGCTGAAAAGTTTTTTCTCCACCAGACTTAAAAGGAGCATTGGCACTGTGACCAGACAACCAGAAAAAACTTTTCAGCTTCTGAAAAGTTTTTTCTGACCATTCCCCACTCAAAAGGTAAGCAAAGAGACTCACCTCGTAGAAATGAATTAGTTAAATCGCCGCGTTAATTTGCTAAGTCTACCTCGTACCTCGTCTGGGCTCGCTCTAAATTGTGCAGATATTTTGACTATTTGAGGGGTACCCCCCTAATTAATAAAACCATGGTAGATCTTACGCCGGGGTTGACATTACGGGGTTAATGTTGTTGGTTAATCCACTCTAACCCACCCTCTGCCGACTGATGGCGCCTATCTAACGTCCCACTCCCATCCTCAGCGAACGAGGCCCAGGCCCGGGACCTAGTCACAGTTGTAGGAAAATCACTAACTTCTAATGAATTCTACTTGTAAATTATGATGGCACACTAAACATATATAAAGAAAATGGCGATAACCGAATCCACTATCTACTTCACAGTTTCAATATGAATATAAGCATGATTAGTTGAAATTTGATAGGAAGCAATTTGATAGGAAACTGACCAAGAAAAAACAGTTCCTATTGCAGTTGTTTCATCCAGTTCAGCAAATCGTCCCAGGCAAGAATTCCATCGTCCCAGGCCAAGATGAGTCTTAGTCTTACCCCGGAACCAAGGAATGTGTCAGGGTGCCTAAATTGGAGGGATCCACCACAACAATCAACTCTAAACGAAACCGTGGAAACTAGCAGTGGGTCTCGGGGCTATGGCGAGGTATTCAATAAGAACAGGGTTCCAATTTTAGCATCAGCTTGCACTCTGCTCCCACCTCGATTCATCATTCTTCTTCAGCATTGCAATTCATTTCCCGGGACAAGTGGTGGGAGGCGCCCTCGAGATACACATGAAATTGCGCAATCTCAGGAAAATTCTTGGCTGCCTACAACATTTGCTCACGCTCCGAGCTGTGCGGGTCATCAAGTCATAGAACTCATATGGTAAGCGTTGCTGACCTCTGATTGGAGGAATGCCGATGGCAATCAGGAGCGCAAGGTTATATTAGCATTATAGCCAAACAAAATTCCCGCTATATCCCTGATATAGTTACATCAATGATATTCTGAGTTTTGGTGAGATCTGCCATTGTATCCTCATCATATCACCATTGTAGTTATACCAGCTGGATCACTACTATTGGATAAACCCTGTCATCCGTTACCATTCCATTATCATTCCATCATGTTTTTGTTTTTTTTCCACTGTTCCTTGGTTCCTACCCCCGCTGTTTCCATTGTAATTACATATGTATATATAAATATATATAAATAAATAAGTAAATAAACTTTAAATAAATAAATAAATGAAAAATAAATTAACAAATAAATAAATAAATATATATATATATATCGTTACAACTATGGCTTACAACAGGCATTGGGTCTACCATCTGATGCGTGCAATTTCTATAATCAATACTCACTAATTCCCACAAACATAACGATGATTCCATGATCAGTTGAAGTTACAAATCAGTTAAATGGATTATAATTCCAAAAAATAGGTCATCAATAGTCAGTTAAATCCTATCCCTTTTGATTATACATCCATTACTAAATATGATCTCAGTGAATAGTTGGTTGAAATTTTTGTACTTGGTTGAACGGTATGTTTAATCATTATCACTGGTTGGTGGTCGTAACCCCTCTGAAAAAAGTTCTAAACCACCAACCAGATCACCATGTTCTGCTGGCAAAATCTTCCATTGGCTATGGCGAATGGAGTCATTCTTCAGTGGCCTGAAATGTTGACATTGTTTATCCTCACGTGAGTTGAGGTTCCCATTGTTGGTTTTGTAGTTAGTTATAACACGTTATATCATGTTTTTGTCATGTTAGAACAATGTTATAACTTATAACAACGTTATATCCCAATATTGTTGGCCAGGGATGTCCCCATATAACTATAGTTTTGCTGATGATACCCCTAGAAATTGTTGCTGTAATTGCTCATTATCTGTTATCATGTTTAACAATAGTTGATCGTAATTATCATTCATCTCAATAGCAAAAACATGATTATCATTCTCACTATCGAAATCTTAGATAGCCCAATATTAGATATCCCATCAACATTAGATATCCCAATTAAAATATCCGCATTCTCATTCCTGTATGAGATATCCATGAGATATATCACTACATTAGTACAAATTAAATACCAATATCCAATAATATCCCGGCATAAGACATATACCTGAAATAATCCAAAACATCCCACATATAATCAATAATTATCATTGACAAACATTAGATATTCCCCGTATATTATATTGAGGCTTCCAAAAATCTGGGAACCCCAATAGCTGGATGGTTCATAATGGAAAATCCCAAGCAACACGAATGGATGATTTAGGGGTACCACTATTTCGGGAACTCAGCTTTGTCAAACAGTTTCTGAGAAAGTTGATATAACAAAGATCAATATGGTTCACAGGTTGATATCAAACATTATGTATCCCACAATATTAGATATCCATTTGATATATCACTACATTCACAAATATCCATTGGATATTAAATAACACTAATATAACTGATTATATTGTACCACTGCATTATTTATATTAGTGTTAAATACAGTGGTATATATATGTACATATGAAATAATAGTATTGTTTTATATCACTATTAAACAATTATGAGTTATATCCAAGGTATATTAACATTTATATTTGTGTTATAATCCACTGATTAGTGTGATTAGTGGTATATTGATGGTATTTTGAACATGTATAATCGATAATTAATCAAACTATATACCAGTGTTATATTAATGTAGTGATCTAAATATTCAATAGACTATGATGATATCTAGTAAATAAACCAGTAATAGTTTATATTTACCACTATAAAACTCTATCTAATATCAGTATCGAATATATCTATCTAAATATACCACCCATAGCTATTTACATACTGTTAAAATAGTTATATCATAATATACCAATATCTACAAAAAACCATTAATATATCTAATAAAAAGACTATCAATAGTCTATCATATGGTATTATTAAAAAAAAATACAATTTTATCCATTGGGTACCATTAATATTATATACCACTATGAAAAAACACTAAATATTCCATTGGATATTGAATACCATATATGACACTAAATGCTAATAGATACCATACGTGTCTTACATAACCCATTGATATTAGATATTAGACACTATTAACTATTATACTAAGTTATTATCTATATATTAGTGCAATATGTTAGATCTAATAATAGAACACTAATTAAACCACTGCACTCAATTATGTTATAACATATGGTAGTGGCATATCCATTTATATCCATTGATTATATACCACTGCACTCCATCTCTTTCCATCGGAGGCTCTTGGTCCAAGATCTCGAAGAGTTCCCGCGCCGCCGCCAAGTCTTTGGGATCCGTCTCCGGTTCCAACGGCAGCAGCGCCGAGCTGTGCTTCGCCTCGGGAACGCCACGGAGACGCCACAGGGTACCCCCGGGGAAGTGGGGGAAAAGGTGGGAAAGTTCCGGCGAAAATAGGTGGGATTATGGAATTTCTCGGTTTTTTAGGCATAACTATGGTGATTTCGTGTTCCAAAAGGTAGAAGTCAAGCATATACTTAAGGAATGTAACTTAGCGCCAGCACTGGATAAAGAAATGGACTAAAGGTATAAATCGCAGCAATATCTTTCACAGAAAACCAAATGATTTTGATATTGTTTTGTAAACTAAATGCAGGTGACTTGGCCAGGACATGGGAATGGGGACTAGCAATGACAGAGTCTAGCAGCGTCTAGCCGCAAAGTTGCATATCCAAGGCCATCCATGCAACAAAACCTAGGATACTACAATGTGGTGCCCCCTAGCTATGCGTGTCAAACCGTGATTACAAAACATAAAAATCGTTACTCTAGCCATCAACCAACTGGGGCACATCCTTGTAGCAACAAACTTCAAGATTCTACATCATCAACTGATTCTGATGACTTTCAAATCTTCAAGAATCAAAAATGGCGACGCAAACCAGACTGACACCCACAAAAAATATATAATAATCCCCAAAGACAAGCCGATGATTCTGTAAGAACCCCAAAAAACTGCAGACTTCACGCAAAATCAGCAGGTGGCGACCGGAACCAGAAAATAGGTGGGTTGTAACTTACGAAATCTACATATACCCTCTTATGTTTGGGGATGTTTCCCAGTTGCGATCATGAGTTATTTAATGTTTTCTTTTGCAGTTCTATCCATTTGCTGCTTCAAAGGTCCCAATATCAGTTTCGAAATTTCACTTTCCGTGCCCTAAAACCAACAATTTGGTACCAAAACCACAAGTTTCAGTTGCAAGATGTCCTTCGTGCATTGACACATGTGGTTTCACACCTACAAAAACCGACTGAAACCCAGCTTTTTTCCAACCCCGACAAGGTGGTGCCCCCTCAGTTTTAAGTTGGGTAATAACCCCCCTTAACTATAGATATACCACCTATGAACCATAGTTATTGGAGTTATAAACCAACTTAGCCATCTTGGGGGCACCACCTTGTAGTAACTAGTTCGATATATCTATTAAAAAAGATAGTTTTTGCAGTTCTTTGTGCCAACTTCGCCAACTAAATCAACTCCATAAAGACCCATTAAATCCCAGTAAACCAACATCAAATCGCCATTTTCACCATTAAACCCAATTAAATCACATTAAATCCCATTTTCACCATTAAATCAACATGAAGTCCCATAAAATCACCATTTTTGCTGGCAAAAATCACCCACCATCGCCAAGGTGCAGCGTCCACCAGCGGCCGCTCCAAGCGCCAGAACAAGACGTCGCAGGCGAAGCGCACCGGAGCTAGATCTTCGTAGAGATTTTCGAAGGCCAAAGCCTTCGAAGAGTGGATCAATGGTTGGTTGGATCAGTGGCTGGTTATTAGTAATGATGATATGGATATTATGACTATAATATGGTTATTAATATGATTGTGATAACATACATATCATGGCTATGAGTATTTGATGGTTATTGTACTGATCCAATATTGTAAACAAAACATGTGGTTAATTAATGCTAAGAACTATGATCCATAGTTGCGACATTTTTTTACAGTAAACGGAGACTAATAATAATATCAATGTTACCAACATTACTTTTAATTAATATCAATAATATATTACTGTTATTCACATTGCTGCTTATTAATACATTATTAGTATTCATGGTAATTCGGTGGCAGCGAATAGTGGCATTGGTGATGTTACTAATTTAGTGATGGTTATGGACCTAATGGTTTTGCATGGTTAGTTGCGATTATGGATTTTATCTGATTAATAGTTACAAAATTATAACCCCTATTCATGGTGAATTGATGGATACATATTTTGTTGGTTACGGATATTTAAGGCCAATTATAGTTGTTCAAAAATATGTTAAGAGGGGGTGGTTTATCAACAATAATTTTCAATGGTTGTGAATGGCTAACAAATATTGATTTGAATCTTGTAGAAAATAAAAACAGTAGTATTCATTGTGGTTAGGGCCAGTGTGATGTTAATAGAAGCTAGCAACGGCACTAACAAGGTTACAGCTAATAATGTCATTAATGTCACTGAAGTTATTCTCATGATCGTATTCTTTAGTAACGTTAACAATAAATGCATATTATGAAGCGAACCTGCCCAATGTTAGATCATTATATAATGGTAAAATTAGTGTACTATACTTGGGCAGGTTATAATCTATATTGTTTAATCTCCATCACTAGTATTACAGTACTATAACGGTTATGACTATTAGATTATTTCTGCTAGTTGTCATCAACCGCTCACTTTCTGTTGAAAGGCGGTGCCCCCCAGGTATGCCGGTTTGGAGATGCAACAGAAACCTTGACCGTGACACCAGCTGCAAGCCCACCAACTTGGCTGAGGATTGGGGGCATCACATGTATAACATGTTGGTTAAATCCAATGCATTCCCATATGACGCGCCTCATCTTTTTGGTTGGTTATGATGTTTGAAGCAATTTCGTCGTAGAATCAGAAAGCGCCTAGCAGGGACTGCCGACCTCTTTCGCACCATCTATTCTGTCGCCTGATGGTCTGGAATGATTTTCTCCGCTGGACCATGAAAGGCCCCAGCATATAGGTACAGGCCGGTTTCGCGAATTCTTATCGCAGCACGCTGGCGTGCATGGCTTGCCTGCAAGCCAGAAGCAGCCACTGGTATAACCAGATGGCTGAATTGCCTGAGTTACGAATTCAATCGCAAAGCTCCATTGCGCGCCATCGAATGCCTCTTGCTGCATAGTTGACTTTCGCTCAGGCTGCCGTCAGGCTCGGAGCTGGAGGCAGCACAAAAACCTGCCCCTGCATCGGAGTTCCTTCAACCATTGCTCTTGGAGCCGCCCCTGCCCTGAAGCTAGACAGTGGAATTGGTTCAAAAGACGGCCCCAGTTCCACACTAAGAGGGTGCCCCGGGGTTGAAATTCAACCCCATCTGCGTGCACAAATAAAGGCACAGTTGTGCTTTTACGTTGCGCAGAGTTTCAGAAGGCCACTTTTTTTTACATATCGGATGTTGGCGGGGTCTGTCATCTTGCGTTCTTTCAGCCCTTTCCAAGATTTTCTACGAGTATGCAGCCCAACTTGAACCCACGCTTTGGTCCGGCCGACAGCTTGGCAGCGCGGTGCCGTGTCCATTCATCCATCCATCTGACATGCAAACCATCAACTCCCATGATGTTCCGATCATACTTCCCCTGATCTTCTTCCGTGATGCTTATATCCAGTTGGATGGGTGAGCAATACATTTCGCCCAAAATGATCAGATGTGCCACCGTGAAATCATCGTGTATGGTGTTGTTTGCATCCATCCCGGAAGTGGAATCCTTATGATGCAAAAAAAAACATGCCTGTAAATGGATTGATGACCATATCTCGGAATATCAACCATGTAACTTGACCATTGCACATGCAACCCAATTTAACTATGGTTATTTCAACACCGTAAACCCTAGCAAATCTAGTAATTTGCACCAACTTAGCAAACAAAATCCCATTGAATCTCCTTGAGTCACTAGTTCGTTGAGCATTGTTGTAAAATCCCTATGGGGTAAGTCAAAGTTTCCTCCATTCCTCCATTCTACATAATCCACATAATCCAGACCCAAACCTAATTAAACCTCAGTTTGGCGATTAACCATTGGTGGTATTGTTGTTTGTTTATCCCATATGTCTGACCATGGCACATATAACATATATACATAGATATGTATATTGAAAAAATCACCCCCCCACCTGCCAGGTGAGGGTTGTCAGATTTTATCAGAGTTGTTCTCCTCCTCCGCCTCCTCCTTCTCCTCCTCCTCCGCCTCCTCCGCCAGTTTCTCCTCGACCATGTCTGCATCAACTTCCACCTCCACTTCCGCCCTGCCAACTCTTCGCCAAGCTCTTTGCCAACTTCCCAGCTCAGTGTGCACCGCTGGACCTCAACCTGGGACCTTCCCAGCTCAGTGCGCACCGCTGGACCTCAACCTGGGGCCTTCCCAGCTCAGTGCGCACCGCTGGACCTCAACCTGGGACCTTCCCAGCTCAGTGCGCACCGCTGGACCTCAACCTGGGACCTTCCGAGCTCAGTGCGCACCGCTGGACCTCAACCTGGGACCTTCCCAGCTCAGTGCGCACCGCTGGACCTCAAAAGCCAGATAGAATGCCAGAAGATATGAATGTCAGATAGAATGCGAGAAGATATGCCAGATAAAATGCCATAAGATATGCCAGATAGAGTGCCAGGAGATATGCCAGATAGAATGTTAGAAGATATGCCAGATAGAATGCGAGAAGGTGTGCCAGATAGAATGCCAGATAAAATGTCAGATAGAATGCCAGAAGATATGCCAGATAAAGTGCCAGAATGTTTGCCAGATAGAATGCCAGAAGATTTGAGTAGATAATATGCCAGAAGATATGCCAGAAGATATGCCAGATAGAATGCCAGAAGATATGTCAGATAGAATGCCAGAAGATTTGCCAGTAACAAAATGTATAAATGTCATGGTGGGGATCACACGAAGTAAAGTAATGTTGTCGACTGATTAGTGTGAGGGCCCCCCAAACAATTTTAGTCTACTCAATAACTGACATTTTTTTTGCGCCCCCCCCTCAACATTTTTTCTTGAATATTTATTTTTAGTTGATTTCAATTTACTTTCAATTGAAATCAATTTACTTTCAATTGATTTCAATTTAATTACTTTCAATTGATTTCAATTTACTTTCAATTGATTTCAATTTACTTTCAATTGATTTCAATTTACTTTCAATTGAAATCAATTGATTTTCAGCTGATTTCAATTTACTTTCAATTGATTTCAATTTACTTTCAAATGATTTCAATTTACTTTTAATTGATTTCAATTTACTTTCAATTTATTTCCAATTGATTTCAATTTACTTTCACGGGTTTTGTGTTTTTTTTTCAACCCCGAAAGTTGTGGGGCACAAAAGAGTACCATCCAAACATTCATATTATTGAGTAACTGATGGATGCTGTTTTTTAATAAGGGTTTAATAAGGCATCTAACTATTTGGAAAACCTTGCATTTTAAAGCTTTATCAAACATATGGTTTCCTAAAGTAAATGGACCAGCTTTACTCAAAGAAAGGTGGAGAAGGTTTTTGATTTTGTTCATCTCCAAAAGTTGTTGGGCACAATAGAGTACCATCCAAACATTCATATTATTGAGTAACTGGGCCACTCATGAGGTACACCCTTGAAAAATTGTTTGGATGCTGTTTTTTAATAAGGGTTTAATAAGGCATCTAATTATTTGGAAACATTGCATTTGAAAGCTTTAATTTAAAACAAACGAAAAAACAGAAAAACAATTTTAATTAATTAATTTAAAAATAAACTCAAAAAATAATTAGGAACAATTTTAAAAAAAGAATCAAAAAAAACAAAAAAAATTGGAAAAATTGCCACAATAGAGCCCCCCCCCAAACAGCATGGAACTGAATAAGGAGGATTTTTTGCCACAATAGAGTACCATGCTACTAATCAGGTGCTAACATTAATCAGAACCTTAGATATACAAATTGATGGGTCCTTTTTTAATCAAATTGATTAGTTGATGTTATTGATTGCTATTTGTTAATCAAAATGATGTTTATCAGACATTGATCAAGAACATTTCACTGGAGACCATCCTGCGCTCATCATCCCTGAAAGATCATCCTAGCAACGGCTGCAAAAAAAAACATAAAAATCCAGGTTAAGTTCAATGTTTCCTATTAAAACAACGATTTCCCAGGGTTTTCACACATTATCCACGGGTTTTCCCATTTTCCCCGGGTTTTCCCATGTTTTCCCATGGTCTTACCATGGTTTTCCCATGGTCCCCGCCACGTCCCCCATGAAGATGCCGCTGCCGCCCGAGGCGCTACAGGCTCGGAGGCCCCGATGGCGTTGACGCCGCGCAGCATCTGACGCAGGCGATGGCCTTCGACGAAGGCCAGCTGTTCTTCGGTGCACTGAAGACCTGAGATCAGATGGTTGGGGATTTGTTACAATGTGAGGCCCCCTAGATAGCTAAGTTGGTTTACAATTCCAATAACTATGGTTTATGGTACTTATAACATCTTATAACTATACTTACTGGGGTTTACAAACCAACTTATAACTGGGGGGCCCCACATTGTAATTGGTTTATAGGTATCCAATATAGATAGGAATCCAATAACTGTTATATATAACAGATGGTTGGGGATTTGGTTTATAGGTGATATATCTATATATAGTGAAAGGGATTTGGTCACTATGACCATTAACCAGCTGTGGATTCCTAAAAACTATGGTTAATAATGGATAACTATAGTTTTTAGGAATCCAATAACTACGAAATCTGTAAAATCGAAACAATATGGTGTTTTATTGCGGTTTATGAAGATTGATAAAAAATTTATTGTTACTCATTGTTACTTATTTGTGATTTGTTTGTGGTTTATGAATCCAATAACTATGGAATCTGTAAAATCGGAACAATATGGTGGTTTCATGGTGATTTATTGAGGTTTATGAAGATTGATTGAAATTTATTGTTACTCATTGTTACTTATTTGTGATTTGTTTGTGGTTTATGAATCCAATAACTACGAAATCTGTAAAATCGGAACAATATGGTGTTTTATTGCGGTTTATGAAGATTGATTGAAATTTATTGTTACTCATTGTTACTTATTTGTGATTTGTTTGTGGTTTATGAATCCAATAACTACGAAATCTGTAAAATCGGAACAATATGGTGTTTTATTGCGGTTTATGAAGATTGATTGAAATTTATTGTTACTCATTGTTACTTATTTGTGATTTGTTTGTGGTTGAATGTTAAATCCAATGAAATCTGTAAAATCGAAACAATATGGTGTTTTATTGCGGTTTATGAAGATTGATTGAAATTTATTGTTACTCATTGTTACTTATTTGTGATTTGTTTGTGGTTTATGAATCCAATAACTACGGAATCTGTAAAATCGGAACAATATGGTGGTTTCATGGTGATTGCGGTTTATGAAGATTGATTGAAATTTATTGTTACTCATTGTTACTTATTTGTGATTTGTTTGTGGTTTATGAATCCAATAACTACGAAATCTGTAAAATCGGAACAATATGGTGTTTTATTGCGGTTTATGAAGATTGATTGAAATTTATTGTTACTCATTGTTACTTATTTGTGATTTGTTTGTGGTTTATGAATCCAATAACTACGAAATCTGTAAAATCGGAACAATATGGTGTTTTATTGCGGTTTATGAAGATTGATTGAAATTTATTGTTACTCATTGTTACTTATTTGTGATTTGTTTGTGGTTTTTGAATCCAATAACTATGGAATCTGTAAAATCGGAAAATATGGTGGTTTCATGGTGATTTATTGCGGTTTATGAAGATTGATTGAAATTTATTGTTTCTCATTGTTACTTATTTGTGATTTGTTTGTTGTTTATGAATCCAATAACTATGGAATCTGTAAAATCAAAAATTATATGGTGGTTTCATGGTGATTTATTGCGGTTTATGAAGATTGATTGAGATTTATCGTTACTCATTGCTACTTATTTGTGATTTGTTTGTGGTTTATGAAACCAACAACTATGGAATCTGTAAAATCGGAAAATATGGTGGTTTCATGGTGATTTATTGCGGTTTATGAAGATTGATTGAAATTTATGGTTTCTCATTGTTACTTATTTGTGATTTGTTTGTTGTTTATGAATCCAATAACTATGGAATCTGTAAAATCACAAAAAAAAGGTGGTTTTCATGGTGATTTATTGCGGTTTATGAAGATTGATTGAAATTTATTGTTACTCATTGTTACTTATTTGTGATTTGTTTGTGGTTTTTGAATCCAATAACTATGGAATCTGTAAAATCACAAAATATGGTGGTTTCATGGTGATTTATTGCGGTTTATGAAGATAGATTGAAATTTATTGCTTCTCATTGTTACTTATTTGTGATTTGTTTGTTGTTTATGAATCCAATAACTATGGAATCTGTAAAATCAAAAATTATATGGTGGTTTCATGGTGATTTATTGCGGTTTGTGAAGATTGATTGAGATTTATCGTTACTCATTGCTACTTATTTGTGATTTGTTTGTGGTTTATGAAACCAACAACTATGGAATCTGTAAAATCGGAAAATATGGTGGTTTCATGGTGATTTATTGCGGTTTATGAAGATTGATTGAAATTTATTGTTTCTCATTGTTACTTATTTGTGGTTTGTTTGTGGTTTATGAATCCAATAACTATGGAATCTGTAAAATCACAACAATATGGTGGTTTCATGGTGATTTATTGCGGTTTATGAAGATTGATTGAAATTTATTGTTACTCATTGTTACTTATTTGTGGTTTGTTTGTGGTTTATGAATCCAATAACTATGGAATCTGTAAAATCACAACAATATGGTGGTTTTCATGGTGTTTTTATTGCGGTTTATGAAGATTGATTGAAATTTATTGTTACTCATTGTTACTTATTTGTGATTTGTTTGTGGTTTATGAATCCAATAACTATGGAATCTGTAAAATCGGAACAATATGGTGGTTTCATGGTGATTTATTGCGGTTTATGAAGATTGATTGAAATTTATTGTTACTCATTGTTACTTATTTGTGATTTGTTTGTGGTTTATGAATCCAATAACTACGAAATCTGTAAAATCAAAAATTATATGGTGGTTTCATGGTGATTTATTGCGGTTTATGAAGATTGATTGAAATTTATTGTTACTCATTGTTACTTATTTGTGATTTGTTTGTGGTTTATGAATCCAATAACTACGAAATCTGTAAAATCGGAACAATATGGTGTTTTATTGCGGTTTATGAAGATTGATTGAAATTTATTGCTACTCATTGTTACTTATTTGTGATTTGTTTGTGGTTAATGAATCCAATAACTACGAAATCTGTAAAATCGGAACAATATGGTGTTTTATTGCGGTTTATGAAGATTGATTGAAATTTATTGTTACTCATTGTTACTTATTTGTGATTTGTTTGTGGTTTATGAATCCAATAACTACGAAATCTGTAAAATCGGAACAATATGGTGTTTTATTGCGGTTTATGAAGATTGATTGAAATTTATTGTTACTCATTGTTACTTATTTGTGATTTGTTTGTGGTTAATGAATCCAATAACTACGAAATCTGTAAAATCGGAACAATATGGTGTTTTATTGCGGTTTATGAAGATTGATTGAAATTTATTGTTACTCATTGTTACTTATTTGTGATTTGTTTGTGGTTTTTGAATCCAATAACTATGGAATCTGTAAAATCGGAAAATATGGTGGTTTCATGGTGATTTATTGCGGTTTATGAAGATTGATTGAAATTTATTGTTTCTCATTGTTACTTATTTGTGATTTGTTTGTTGTTTATGAATCCAATAACTATGGAATCTGTAAAATCAAAAATTATATGGTGGTTTCATGGTGATTTATTGCGGTTTATGAAGATTGATTGAGATTTATCGTTACTCATTGCTACTTATTTGTGATTTGTTTGTGGCTTATGAGTCCAACAACTATGGAATCTGTAAAATCGGAAAATATGGTGGTTTCATGGTGATTTATTGCGGTTTATGAAGATTGATTGAAATTTATGGTTTCTCATTGTTACTTATTTGTGATTTGTTTGTTGTTTATGAATCCAATAACTATGGAATCTGTAAAATCACAAAAAAAAGGTGGTTTTCATGGTGATTTATTGCGGTTTATGAAGATTGATTGAAATTTATTGTTACTCATTGTTACTTATTTGTGATTTGTTTGTGGTTTTTGAATCCAATAACTATGGAATCTGTAAAATCGGAAAATATGGTGGTTTCATGGTGATTTATTGCGGTTTATGAAGATAGATTGAAATTTATTGCTTCTCATTGTTACTTATTTGTGATTTGTTTGTTGTTTATGAATCCAATAACTATGGAATCTGTAAAATCAAAAATTATATGGTGGTTTCATGGTGATTTATTGCGGTTTGTGAAGATTGATTGAGATTTATCGTTACTCATTGCTACTTATTTGTGATTTGTTTGTGGTTTATGAAACCAACAACTATGGAATCTGTAAAATCGGAAAATATGGTGGTTTCATGGTGATTTATTGCGGTTTATGAAGATTGATTGAAATTTATTGTTTCTCATTGTTACTTATTTGTGGTTTGTTTGTGGTTTATGAATCCAATAACTATGGAATCTGTAAAATCACAACAATATGGTGGTTTCATGGTGATTTATTGCGGTTTATGAAGATTGATTGAAATTTATTGTTACTCATTGTTACTTATTTGTGGTTTGTTTGTGGTTTATGAATCCAATAACTATGGAATCTGTAAAATCACAACAATATGGTGGTTTTCATGGTGTTTTATTGCGGTTTATGAAGATTGATTGAAATTTATTGTTACTCATTGCTACTTATTTGTGGTTTGTTTGTGGTTTATGAATCCAATAACTACGAAATCTGTAAAATCAAAAATTATATGGTGGTTTCATGGTGATTTATTGCGGTTTATGAAGATTGATTGAAATTTATTGTTACTCATTGTTACTTATTTGTGATTTGTTTGTTGTTTATGAATCCAATAACTATGGAATCTGTAAAATCAAAAATTATATGGTGGTTTCATGGTGATTTATTGCGGTTTATGAAGATTGATTGAGATTTATCGTTACTCATTGTTACTTATTTGTGATTTGTGTGTGGTTTATGAATCCAATAACTATGGAATCTGTAAAAACACAAAAATATTGTGGTTTCATGGTGATTTATTGCGGTTTATGAAGATTGATTGAAATTTATTGTTACTCATTGTTACTTATTTGTGGTTTGTGTGTGGTTTATGAATCCAATAACTATGGAATCTGTAAAATCAAAAATTATATGGTGGTTTCATGGTGATTTATTGCGGTTTATGAAGATTGATTGAGATTTATTGTTATTCATTGTTACTTATT